AATTTTTTTAAGTAGCTGGACTCTTGATCGACGAAGCTTTTTTTCCCAGTGAATTGCGGTTTTCCATTCGAACATCATACACAGGTCAAAATTGCGTGCTTCGATCCTTTAATCTTCCAATTTTATACTTTTGAAATCTTCCCAACTTAATTTCTCGAGACTTTAGCGGTTTTATCGAATTTCGGGAGCCGCGCGGAACCGAGAATATCGGCTCCATGCAGCTGCCGAGATTTTTGGAGTGCGGGTAGGTATGTATCACCCAATTTTATTCACTTCGTAAACTTTGTAGAAATGTCACTTACGGCGCCTGGAAAACACTCAACATTACATTTGGACCCTTCAAAGTGCCATGGAAAGTTACCTATTTGGAGTGGAAAATGGACTTCATTTTGCAACGGAGGAACTACTTTTTCTCGCTCATTTTAGGAGCAACATATTTGCCATTGAATGGAAATATTGCATGCGTGAGGGATTTGCGATTTGACCATTGATTTTAATGTAAAAGTTCGCGAGAAACACGATGGTGCCACTGGTTTTCTCTAAAATCATCTCCGAAGCTCAAAAAAAGCTCTCAAAGTGAGGCCAAAATAGGGGATATCCCACCCTACCCTGAGAGTCCACCTCTACATCACAACAAACTCTCCATGCAAAGATAGGGAGCAAATACATTAGCATGGTTGCCACTTTATTTGGGTACTTCAAAACTGAAAACACGGCAACCCTGCTAATGTATTTGCTCCCTATCTTTGCATGGAGAGTTTGTTTTGATATAGAGGTGGACTCTCAGGGTAGGGTGGGATATCCCCTCCATTTTGGCCTCACTTTGAGAGCTTCTTTGAGCTTGGGAGATGATTTCAGAGAAAACCAGTGGCACCATCGTGTTTCTCGCGAACTTTTACATAAGAATCAATCGTCAAATCCCTCACACATGCAACATCTCCATTCCCTATGCCGATGGGTGTTTCTAGGGAAGAGCTAGAGATAGTGGCTCCTTTTTGCAAAATGCAACCCACATGTAGAGCAAATATTTAATTCCATACAAGGAGGATCCTCTTCATCCCTTCGAAGTTTCATTAAAAAAAGTTAACCTCAAAAAACCACACTGAATATACTATTATTATATACTGAATATCGACGGTGGCACTCCCAGACCGCGTATCTCGTTTCCTGTGTTTAAGAATCTGAGCTGGGATCCCATTTTACTTTTTTGACGGAGAACAAATCAATTTCATTCCCTCGAGTTTTCACAGAGTTTTCTTTGAAAGGAGAGAAAAAATTACGGAAGTTTTCAAGAATTGACGTTGAGTGGTTTTCCAGGTAAAAAATAAAGTATGACAGGGAATCTACAACGTCGCAAACCGAGATACGTGGTCTGGTAGTTTCACCATCGATATATTATTTTTTTGCCCTGGTAAACATTGGCGATAGAAGCTGCGTTTCAAAATACCATAGAAGTTCTTATAGCCGACTGAGCAAGGCGATAGAAAATCATATAGCTGGCTGTAAAAAGTGGAAAAAATCGTACGGCCGGGCTACACGAAGCGATAAAAAATTAAACAGACGAGCTATAGTTCCTGTCGCCGGGCTTTACACTTTATAGCCTGGCTGTTGCTTTTTCGCCATCGGCTATAAAAGGCTATGAGAAATTGTGTAGAAATTCGTGTGCTTTGTAAATCCTTAAGTTTGTACGGAATCGCCATAATATTTACAAAACGCACATTATATTTTCCTTTACTACATATTTGTTTTCATCAATTAAAATGAGAATAATCCATACAGAGTGTGCAAACATTTCAAAGTCATGAGTTGAACAACGCTGACTCCACGAGATTAAATATCAGAGCCTAACGCAAAGCGGAGCGGCGGCGCACTGGCGCCTACAAACCTAACAGGGATACTTCACGCATTGCGCAATGCGTGAAGTATCCCTGTTAGGTTTGTAGGCGCCAATGCGCGTTTTGCGCTGGCTGCCCGCCCACCGCGCCGCGCCGCAGCGTACCACGGCGCTTGAAGCAACTATTTCACACCAGAGGTATTGCACAGTATCGTACGAAATTGAAGGCGCTCCAACATATTAGGAGTGGTAGGCATCCCTCAAAAGTACGGAGCTTTCCTCGCAAAATAAATCAAGATACTACGGCCAAAAAAGAGAGCGGTAGTCCAAAAACTCACTAAGTCCTAGCATCCGTAATTAGTAACGTTTAGCATAAACTTTATCGTCAGGCTGTTGCTTAATCGCCATCGGCTATAAAGGCTATAAGAAATTGTGTTGCCGGCTATAGAAGCTATTGGAAATCTTACAGTCGGTTGTAGGTCCATGGTATTTTGGAACACAGACTCTACTGCCAATTTTTACTAAGGTGAGAAAACTAATTTTGTCTTCCTTTTTTATAAGCAGCCTTATTTTATAGCTTTTTTGTACTGTCGTTGCTGGTGGAGCACCAGTAGTTACTACGAAAGTTAATGTCTTTATGTCATTCGTCAGTTCTTAAAATATAGGGTTAGGTCAAATACTTGCCTTGGTGAGGGTAACATTCGCTTTATCCCGGATATGAAGCGGTCCGACCGTAACGACGTTAGGTGCAAGCATCCGTGGGTAAAAGTACATGTGATTCGACGCAATCATGAATAAGCTGATATTTCGATATACCTTTAAAAATCGAACAGTCATGCAAATTAAGAGGGAAACGAATTTATGTGTAGACCTTGGCTTCCGGAGGCTCAAGTTGTTGGCATGCAGTTGCAGTACAGTTTTGGCCGAAGGGATATCATTCGCATCAAAAACCTAAACATTTTATACGCAATACTGAACTTCGAACATCAAACCGCCATGACTAAGTGGATTGCATTTTGCAAAAAGGAACCAGAAGAATTGCGATTGTGCTAAGATTGTGCATTTTCATCCTTTGCAGTAAAGTTACTGAAAACATGAACGAATATGAAATTTACATTGTAATTTTGTCTCAAATTTACAGTTTTTAGCGAGGAAAATAGAAACTGTAAATAAATGATCAGGTTTTTCTTCCAAAACAAAAGAAGTTGCACAATCTTAGCTGCAACATTGCAATGCTCCTGGTTCCTTTCTGCAAAATGCAGTCCAAGTATGGTTTGGTTCATCACATTTGGGCGTTTTATGTCTCAAAATGTTCCAAGGATAATTTCATTTTTTCTTCTATCAATAACTCAATACTGAGTATTTCCGGACTACAATCGCTCCATTTGTTCTTGGTTGGTTATTATTGACACTCAAAATTAACTTACAATTGTCATCTAAGACTGCGGGCTGGTTATTGAAATCGATAGACAAAGCGATGGACGAAGAAGACGAAGGGAAAATTAAGTCATCCTAGTGGTAGTGCAGACTAAAGGGGAAAATTATGGACCAACTATAGGGTCTCTCGTGGATTACCTACCGTCTCTATTATTTACCTCCTTTATCCATAGCAACCACCCACTTCCCCCAATAGTATCGCTCCATTTTCTCTTCGTCTTCTTTGTCTATCGCTTCGTCTATCAATGTCAATAATCAGCCCGCAGCAGAATTTTAGCTCTTACACTGTATAGAGGTTCATTTACGCTCAAACTTCTTTAGGCAAGCAGTATAGTGCCATGCTAAGGAGAAATAACGTACGAACATTCTAGAGCTGTGTTTTTAAGAGGAGTCATGAATATTTTCTCTTAACATTTTCATGTCATTTAGGTCTGATTGCAAATAATATTCTCCGAGAAGTTGGAGAAAAAATATTCACAGAATCGTCGCAAAATTAGTATTTTAACAGTGGAAATCTGGCAACGTCTGAAGTTTCGTATACGCCGTTCTTCTTTAGCACGTTCTGCCGTACTAAGTAAAAACGCCGTATGAACCTTCAGGCGTTGCCAAATTTCCTTTCATAAAATACGAATTTCCTGGTGAACTTATGAATATCTCCCTTCCAATTTCTCAGATAATTTTGTTCGCAATTTCACCTGAAGTCCCTGAAAATTTCAAGAAAAAATCTTTATATCCGTCTATAAAAGTAAAAATTTTATCGAATGAAATCTGGCAACTCTCGAATGTTCATACGCCGTTCTTCCTTAGCCCGGCCGCATTCCTATTGTGTGTACAATAAACGCCACTGACCTCGTCCATGCTGACCTTATGAACCCCGTTTTCGGCAAGAATCTCTTTCGCGACAATAAAGGTCTTGCTTTGCAATGAGTTCCAGAGCCAGAGGGTGCTGAACCAATTGTCTATTCGCTCCCATAAGCTCATGCGGTCCGTATACCCGTTAAATACCATAGGCATGAAGGACAAGTGCGGAATACTGCCCAGCGCTTTCTCGATGACATAGTCCGTCGACAGGGAACAAAAGGCGATGATGGGTATGCTGCCACAAGTCTTGCGTAGTAGAGGCACCAAAATTAGCGAGTACTTGCCCTCTATTATGATGGAGTCGTATGCCCTTTGACCTGCTTCCGTCTCTCTGAAAAAAGAGAGGAAAACTACACTAGCTCCCTGTGGCTGCCATCAAAGAGACACGTTAGAAATATTTGTAGGTTTAAAAATATTTTTTTGCAAGGTCATGCAAATATTGTAAAAATATTTTCGAGAATACCTATATTATTAAAGATAGGACATTAATATTTTGACGATATTTTGGCTTAATTTTTTTCTATTTTTATTGTCATGGGAACGGAGTTCCCCATGATATTACAATCGTTCCGTTGCTTTCGCTATGGAATTCCCTATACCTCTGCGACCTTGAGCGTTTCGCCCAGTCTCCGATTTTTGGTTGATTTTCCGATGTATCAAAAACCGTTGTATTTTTTAGCCAATCATGTCTCTACGTCAAGTTGTGTTGATTGCTAAAATTCGCTTTCAGCGAGTTTTTTTCCACCTTAAGATGTCGTGTCTGACTGGTAAATCTGCGCAGAACCACGAAGTTCCGTTTTTAGGCAAATTCTTTTTTTTGGGAGGTTCTGATTGGTTATTTTTCGCCATCAGTTTTCTGTTCGTTGGTGCAAAAGATCGCCTACCTCGGTGTTCTTGAGAAGCTGCCATTATCCCACCTCAAATTTGAAAAATAGAAGTAAAGAAATAATAACCATCGTACAAGGTGGAAAATTGTTCTGGAGGACTCGTTACGGATAAAGAAGTCAAAATCAGAGCTCGATTGATTGATTTAATTCATGGATACGCAAATATTGCCTTAGCTCAACTGCCGCGATCGGCATGCGTGCTGGGATGAACCTCGAGACGCATTAAAACAGTGCGAACCATGGCTCCTACACGCCAATGCGCTAAAAGCAACGTTCAAAGCGTCAAGGTCTCTTGTGATAAGTCCCGCCCGTTGCCCGAGTCTTTTAAATGCTTTTTTTACTCTCACTCTCGTGGAACCGTTATAGCCTAGTTGACTAAACCGCCTTATATTTTTGACTTGGTGCGGGCAATAGGCGATCGGGAGTTCGATACCCGACGATGCGTGTTACTTTTTAATGGTTGTATTGAATGTTTTAGACTAAGCATCAACAAATAATTAATACTAGATGATAAATGTACGAACATTTTCTCGTGAGTTAATATGTTAAACAAAAATACTGGAATATACCTCCTTCATATAATCAGCCACATGTTCCCCCAAATTAATGACGTTATTTTCTTTTTTCAATAAAGTTAATTTGCATTCAACGTTCGTAAGTTAAGCAAAAAGTACCTATTGATACAAATAGAAAGACATGAAAATAGTATGTCTAACATTTCAGTTGTTTTTTTTTTTTTATTTATTTTTTGTTTTTTTGTTTTTTCAATAAAACAAATTGACTGGGACTAGAATCATCGTATCTCTGAAGAGATACGATGGGAGATCAGGGAGATGTTGACCCAAATATTGATGTATATTTTCTCTGTTCGCCCAAATTAATGATGGTATTTTCTTTTTTCAATAAAATTAATTTACATTCCACGTTTTTAAAGCAATATTTTCTCCAAAATTCAGCAAAAAATAACAATTTATACCTACGCAAAAAGTAAATAAATAAATAAAGCAATGGCATGAAAGTAGTATAGGTAGTACACATCTAACATTTCGGTTACATCTATTTGAATGAAAAAAATGGCAACTTAGGAAGCACATAGGTCACGTATCGACGGTGAAACTACCAAACCACGTATCTCGGTTTGCGACGTCGCAGACTTTCTGTCATACTTTATTTTTTAAATGAAAAGCTACTTAACGTCAGTCTTGAAAATTTCCGTGATTTTTCCTCTTCGTGCGGAGAAAATTCTGTGAAAATTTCAAGGAATGATATTGATTTGGTCTACTTCAAAAAAATAAAATGTGAGCGGAGATTTTTAAACACCGCAAACGAGATACGTGGTTTGGTAGTTTCACCGTCGTTATGATGCGTATTCGGGCATATGCGTAGAGTAAAAATATCATACTTTACGCCGAAAAAACGAAACTGAAAGTTAAATGCGTTAACTTCCAAAAACCATACATATAATCCAACGAAAATAAATAATTGGTAAATAACAGCTTTCTTTTATGCAAAGAAAAAAAATTAAAAATGTTAAAAAAGAGATGTCGACACAAAATTACATATCCCCTTCAATTCTGAAGATACTACAAACGTACTGTACCTTAAAATTTTCATACCCCAGAAGCAAAAGTTCCCATGACGAATATTGCTATCGCTAGCGATTGCAAAAACCAACTTGTTTTCATTTTTTTATTTTTATATTCGCACAATAGAAATCCTGTAGGTATCTAAAGAGGAGATACGGCGGAGTTGGGACGGGTTTGAGTTAGGACAGTTTAGTTTTTTAAATAACAGTTGGTGGCAGGACGTCGATTTTTTAGGTGGTTTACCCCCGAGACATCCATATAAACAAACCTTTATACGGGAGCGATCGGACATGCTCTTTATTTCTCAGGTGGAATTGTTTATTTTTTTTTTTATTTTTTTTTTTTTTGCCGAAAAGCGCGGTTTTTTTTTATCGGAAAATGACTCGTGACTCTCGGAGATTTAAACGTGTAGGTATGTTGAGGAAGAGTGTCCCTACTCTCCCCCACCTTCTCAACAAAATAACATTTTAGATATTTGCTCATATCTTTAAAAGCTAACTAAAACTAAAGAGAATGAACGTAACTAATTTATATTCATTTTAACTTAAGAAATACTACCTCTACACATTCAGGAGAGAAAGAGAACACGATCATTACAGAAATAAAAGTGTCTTTTTGTTGGCTTGAACGGGGTTTGCTTGGCGAGGTTCAGTTCACTATGAGCTCTGTACTGATCCGGCGGAAAAATGTTCTGGCCAGATTTATTCCCTCCAACCTGACTTTGGAGACTGAACAGGACAAGACTTGAGACTCGCCTACCTCAGTATTGTCCGGAACGCATCGCTTTGAATTTCCTCCCTGGCGAGATTGAACGAGTTGCGATACATGTCTGGCCATGCCCATCGGCCGAGCTTTTGTTGGAAATTGATTGTGGAGTTGGAGGTTCCGGCTTTAGTCATCCGCTTATACGCGAAGGATAAATTCACAAACGTGCAGTTTCTCGAATGTTCCAACTCCTACAAAAAATTTAATCATGAAAATAAATTCAAGTTTATGCACAGCATATTATTGAAGTAGGCATTACATTGAAGATTCAACTCAATCCCTGTTCTTCCTTTCTATGGAGTTCAACCCTTCTCAATTTTTTTCAAAGTTCATCCCAGCAATAGGAAGTATAACCTTCGGTAATCCTATCATATATATTTACTGGAATATTACTAGAATATTATATACTTCTTCAAATAGGATGAACTTATCTGTGAAAACAAACTTATTCGATGAAAAGCTACAAAAATTATACACATACAAAAAAAGAAAAATTCATAATAAATATTCCCAACCATAAATTCGTAATTTGAATTCATCATTCTTTTTTGTGTCGATTGCCATCATTGGACGGTGTAAAGGAAATGTCTTAAGAGGGACGAGAGTCCCCTTCAAACACCTGTTAATGCATCTAATAATGTCCGCATCTATTGCATTGCATACCCTTTCCATTGAAGGGGCTTTAATTTACATCATTCCTCACAAATCGGTGGTTACTTCCAATATCTGAAGCAAAACTACGCTGATATATCATTGAAAATCGTAAAAAAAAAGTTGCATTTGAGTGCCAAACAAATCAGTGCTACCATTCCATGTTCGTCAAAAGTTCCGGGATTCGGAACATACTTGTTCCAATTTCTTCCATTCACTGAAAAAAAAAATCTCTGTGTTTTTACTAAGAAAAGGGTAAAATTACCAAGAATTCGGGGTTCTATTTGATCCCAGTTTTTTCTTGGTAAAATTACCATTAATGGAATAGTTAATTTTACCGATAAATCTCGGTAAAATTATTAAACTTTCTCCGTAATTTTACTGGACCTTGGTAAAAACGCCAATATTTTTTATCGACTATGGTAAAATTACCGAGATAAAATGACAAAGTTACTGGGAATTGATTACCAATAAAAGTCGTATTCTTACTTGTAAAAAACAGTAAAAATACCGGTTTTTAAGTAAGCTTACCAGTCTGTCTGGGTAAAATTACCAATAATTCGTAAAAAAAAGCGAGATGGTACAGGTACCAACGGACCTTGGTAAAAACGCCGATAATTTTTTTTCAGTGTTCCATGACGATCAAAAGTTCCAGGATTCTTTTTAGATGTTTTCAAAAGTTCCAGGAAAGTTCCGGAAAATTCAAAAGACCCGGAACATTTCGCGAATTTCAAAAGTTCCGGGGAAAATTCAGGAAAATTTCAAAAGTTCCGAAATTCGGAACTAACACCGGGAAACGGGAGTACCGAAACCAATGTGTTTTAATTGCGAGTCTCAGAGATCCAGTGTTGACGTAATCCTACAAAAAAAAACTTATCTGATTGGCTACGGATGACTTTTGGTGGATGCTCACAGGAATGATGTTAGTCCCGATGTAGGTGACGTGGTGTCCGCGCCGCAAAAGCTCTGCGCTGAGAGAAAGAGCCGGGATCTGATGACTGATGGAGGGCATTAAAATGATGACCAGGACATTCGCCGCGTCGCTGGCATGAAGAAAGAAGAGCGAAATGAGCCAACGTGAAATGTTCCACATGACTGCGGTTAAACCCTGCAGACATGAGAAATAATTTAATCATCGAACTCAGAGGTAGATCCAAGCCCTTGGCTGCCTTTGGCTTGTCGATAAAATGTTTATTTTTAAGGCAAATTATGAATATTTTTCCTTGAAATTTTCAGGAACTTTAGATGAAATTGCGAAAAAAATTATTTGAAAAATTGGAAGAAAAATATTCATATGTTTACCAGGAAATTCGTGTTTAATCAATGGATATTTGGCAACGCCTGCATGAGGGTTCATACGGCGTTTTTCCTTAGCACGGCAGAATAGCAGATAGGAGGCATTCGTCGCCAGATTGGGAAATTCCAAAGAACATCTTGCTAACGGACTGACCTGGGTCTTTCGACCGTGCCATCGGTTGCGGATTTTACTACACACTTTCGTGAGTGTACGTGACATTACTTCGTTTTTTGTAACGACAGAGAAACAATTGTGTACTTACAATATTGGCAAAATAATCAGTACTCTCTAAACTTGCTCCTTTATTCCTGAACCTTAAATGCTTTTCTATTAGTTCTATTAGTTAGAAGATTACAATCGAAATAGCCTTATACACGCTAGCTTTGTCGATTTCCTTTGACATTTTTGCAGTGGTGAATGCATAGCTAAAATGCGCTCCAGCCAGAAGTGTATTCAGGAAATAAGTAGTTTTATAGGAGGATTGAAAACTAACAAAAGGTAGGAAATAAAACATAATAGTAGGAACTATGCAAAACGATAATCCGGATAGCGGAACTTGGAACTGTTTTGAAAACGCCTTCAAATGCGGCGTGATACCACACGCATTCCGGAGAGTTCAAATAGTTGTATCATTGCGCCTTTGAAATGCGACGGAAGATTACAATTGAAGACACCGCACCAAGAACAGCCTATAGGCGGATAGGTCGTTATTACGCCCATATGCTTTTCGGATTCTGCGTACCCTGGACTATGCTGTGGTAGCGATTGAATACCTATAGATAGGTAACGGCTCGAGGTCGAAAAACCTTTTTTCTCCGATTCATGTCAGGCGACTGGATCGATGGTTGCAAGAACGTTCTATAAGCGGGCCTATAAACTTAAGGGTCTTTAAGGTGCTAGATACCCCTTACTTTACTCACTATCGATATTCTTTCATTTTGTTTTAATCATGCGTGATTAAATGATTTATACTTCATATTGCCACCAACATGATTGTTGGGCGTAATAACGGCCTAAAAACCGTTTTTTAAAATTGAATATATTAGAGTGTAAACCCAAAGTTTATCCCAAAATCTACCCGGCATCCTTCAATAGAAGGGGTAGGTCACCCAAGAACACCAAAACAGGGTATGCATAGAAAAGACTGCGCAGTACATCAAAAACAAAACTTTAAATGCGTTTTTCTCAAAACGCGGTTTCAAGTTATAGGCTGTTCTTGGTGCGGTGTCCTCAAGTGTCATGTTAATAACCATTATACCTGAGAATATTATCCAGAACGAGTAGAGACATTAATATGTATAATTTCTACGATCGATAGATGTAGGAAACATACACACAACACTCCCCGATTAAGTGGCAACATTTTTACCATGTAAACTTTTTTGTGAACTCTGGTTAAAAGGAAGAAAGAAATTGCACTCGGCGCTTTATAAATACCTGCAATACTTAGTGCTGGGGAATGAAACGAAGTTGATCTTCTAACCACGCACGCAAAATGTATGATCGAGTCTGATGACAATGGTAAATATTGTGTTAAATCTTCTAAAATTAACTTGTTTTGCCCGAAATATAACAACAAAATAAATTAAACGAGTAAATAAGGAAAAAACTCAATCTGCGATGAGTACCGAAACAGATAATCAATCGACAACACGACGAATTTCAATTATGTGAGATTGCAATGCTAACTAAGTGCATAAAACAAAACTTGAATGATAATTACAAGAATGATGTCGATTGGTCATGAAAAAGATAATAGATTATTCATTATGCAGGTGATAACACTCGCCCAGTTGTCTATCCACTCGGAGTTAATGTTGAATATCTTAAGAGCTATGAAACTGAAGTTTCAAGGTAAGCAAGATTAAAAAAGACGATGCTCCAAATCAAAGTAGGCAAGCGCGTTTAATCAATATAGGTAACATGTTGATATTTAGTGGATTCCACGGCTTAGTGTATGAAATACATTATCTGGATAATTTGATTGAAATGAAAAGTTCTACCGTTCACCGAAAAACCAAACCTTGCTATGGTAGAAACATTTTCAGTGGAACGGTTTTTGTTATGGGCTGGTTTGAAAAATTGTATTTTTAGTGAAAGCCTGGCAATTCTCCGCAGTGTCCTCAATAATTTCCGAAAAAATAAAAATAATTAGAACGATAACGTCCATGACCAGGGATCTGATCCTAGCACATACGCGTTTTTATTGTTTTTTTTTTCTTTTTTCTTTTTCTTTCCTGCAGATGTTTAATTGAAGGTAGCTGAGTAGTCAGCCTCAGCGTTTCGGGTTTAATACTTTTTATTTTTGGCCTCTTTTCCCGCGTTTCTGCTTTATTTGTGTATTTTTAGTGATGCTTATGGAGTTCTTCAAAGAAGTAACAATGACACCAAACAACTTGCTTCCTTTCGATTGAGATCAATCTAAATACCAGAAACACGATGGCAGAGTACTGCCGTGCTTAGTAAAAACGCCGTATGAACATTCGAGAGATGGCAGATTTCCTTCGATAAAATATTTATTTTGGAGGAAAGTTGTGAATAATTTTCCTTGAAATTATCAGGCGCTTAAGGTGTAATGGCGAACTGCGAACAAAACTATCCAAAAAAAAGGAAGGAAAATATTCGTAGGTTTATCAGAAAATTCCTGTTTTATTAAAGGAATTTTGGCAACGCCTAAAGGTTCATACGGCGTTTTTACGTAGCACGGTAGAGTAGTCCTACTATTCTGCGGATGGAAACTAGGCCAAAATACTCCAAAAATGTTCATAATAATAAAAATTTTAAAATTTAATGAGTATCAATGTAAGACTGAGGGGAAGACTGTGTTCTGAGGGGGTCTAAATATTAGTAGAGATTTTATCACGTAAAAATTTCTACTCAGAGGCTTTACGCAAAGGACGAGGTTATACTTAGGTTGTTCTTGTTTAATAGCAAATGGAAAGGGGGTGCGATTCAAAGCCAACACCTTGCTATCAAGGGTACACAGAAGGGCAAGTATGTTCCAATCGGCCTAAATGCTGTTCCGACGAAGGAAAAACCCAACAAAGGATGTACGTTCAATTCAAACGATTGCCGCTAGGTAGCAGGTCGATCGGCTACGGACTGAAACCTTACTGCGAACAGCCGTGTAAGCTGCTTTAGACGGCGCGACGTTACGTAAACATCGTTGTCTGTTTTACGGAAAATAACCCGATCTCTCTACAAAAGCCATCGCGATAACTGCTACAAGTGTCGCAGTGCACATTATTTCGCGAGAGGGTTGCTATCTTCAGTAAAATATATTTGCCAATTTCGTTTTCTAAAAGTCCAGAACGTGATGACGTCACCACGGAAGCATGTAAATGGCAAATGCGAAACCACGTATCTCTGTTTGCGACGTTGCAGACCTCCCGCCATACTTTATTTTTTTTTTTTTTTTTTTTGGAGACTGGTGGACGTATTTTCTTGAAAACTTCATTGATTTCTCTTCTGCGTTAGCAGGATATTCTGTATGGATATCAGGCAACGAAGTTGGCTTGTTTTCTTTCCGAAAATGTAAAATTGGGGCGGAAATTTTAAAACACCGCGATGGAGATACGTGGTTCCTTGCTTTAGTCATCGATGTAGAACATGGCACTTCCTGCTGCCTTGCGTAACACGGCGACATCGGCTATGAAAAAGGCTATAAGAAACTGTATAGCTGGATATAGAAGCTGTAAAAAATCTTACAGCCGGCTATAGGTCTATGACATTTTGGAACACAGATCCTATAGCCAACTTTTACCGGAAAAGCTCAGCAGGGAATTCTTACGTGGTATGAGGAAATTCGGAAACGCCCGAATGTCCATTCGACTCTTGTACCCAGCACGATAGCAAAGAGATGATGGTAGCATGCAATAGCAAAGAGAGCAGTTACTGTCAAGTTTTCGAAATCGAGTTTCTTTCAAAATTCGTCAAATTTCTTTTAGATGAAATCACTGAAATAGCCAAAACAGCAAAATTCATCTTAATTGTATGAAAACGAGACATGTGAGAAAGCTGCAAGTGCGCAAAAAATGACATAGTGTTAGGAAAGACAGCAGTAAGTGACAATATTCCTCCAGAGAACCAATGCAAACAGTGCTTCCAGGCATAAGTAATGCCGCCCCCTTCTTCCAATTTCTAACCTGAAAATGTGTTCGTTGTGTGTCCAGAACGCAACCACGAAAGCATGCAGAAGATAGCATTTACGGCAGTTTTGCCTGACGATAATCTAGCATGAAAATGAAAAATACCCTCTTTATGGAATTGAAATGAAATCAGTCGATTTTCAATCATCCACGTGCTTTCTGGAAGTCTTTCGTATGAATAGTGGCAATTTGACAAAGAACGGAAGCTTCTTTAGATAAAATTTTCTGGTCAGAAGCCTCTGAGCCCGTTTTCTCAAAACTTCAATTTTGCACTTACTACTCTCTTCGCTATCACGGCACACAGTGGATCGAGTCAATAAGAGAGCCGGACAAAATTTGGAAACTTTAAACGCTTATAAATCCGTCTTTACAAAACTTTGAGGTTCTAAAAGTAGTTCCATTGGTTTCCTCGTGAAATTTCCATCCAAAGACAATCCTCGAAAATTAAAATCGACATTGGGAGTCTGCAATCACAAAACTTGGTTTGCGACGTCGCAGACTTCCTGTCATACTTTATTTTTTAAACGGAAAACTACTCAACGGCAATTCTTTAAAACTGCCGTGATTTCTTCTTTGTGCGAAGAAAATTCTGCAAAAACTTCAAGGAATATTGTCAATTTGTTCTCCTTGAAAAAATAACATAGAGGCACAGATTTTCAGACACCGCAAACGAGATATGTGATTGCCGACTTATACCGTCGAAATATGACGAAATGGACGGAGCTAAACAGAAAGGAACCAAGCCACATCGGGATAAAACCGAGAAAAAGAGGTTCAAAGTTTGGCTCCTGCATAAGACTCAATGTAAAAGATAAACTTCAAGTTCAATTTCTGCAAAATTTGCTCCAACAAAAACTCTGAATTTTTGGCGATAGATAGTAGAGCAGTGGTTGAGTTCAAAACCACTCATAACTCAATTTTCTCCACAGGTGGGTTGGTTCCTTTCTGCTTAACTCAGTCCAAATATACATAACATTTTCAGTTTTTAGTCAAAAATTTCATGTCCGACCTCTCTAATTGACCCGATCCACTGAGCGCCAGAGCAAGATGAGAGTAGGCGGACTTTATCGGAAAGTGACAACGCTGTGGGGAAATTCATTGCCAGTTTCAGGGTTAAATCAATAGAACACTCCCTTCGGAGCTTCCAACACCACTCCGTCGCAGAATTAATGCAAAATTAAATCGCATTAGTTATTGATGCGAAACAATGCCCGGGGAACCGGCCACTCCGGCTGTCCCATGCAAATTGCGAGGGAGGCTGGAGTGCTCCGCGGGATAAACCCTCCCCCCTCCCCTCCCCACCCCTCCCCCGGCCCCCGTCTGTGGAGGTCACGCGGCTCGGTTAAAGTTTAATCCAACCCTTATTTCCGATGCCTTTCTGATCTTTACAACAGAGCATGCTCTTCCTTCATCCTTGTTGGGTTAGAGCTTAGCGGATGCAGACACCTCGAACGTAGAGGGGGAGGGGGTTGAGCAGTGGCGTGGCTTGCTTTGCGATATATCGATTGTAATGCCATTTAAACCTATGGAAAAGGATCGATAATCAGGGTGCTTGCAGCGAACACCTTAATAATCGATTCTTTGCCATAGGTTTAAATGGCAAAACAATCGATATATCGCAAAGCACGCCACGCCACTGGGGTTGAGTACCCTCATAGGGAGAGTATGCTGCCGTGCTAAGGAAAAGCGCCGTATACACCTTTAGACGTTGCCAAGTTTCCTTCCATAAGAACCGAATTTGTTAGGATGATTTCGGATATTTTTCCCCGATAATTTCAGGCAATTTCGCACGCAATGTAATTTAAAACGTCTGAAAATCTCAAGGAAAAATATGCACGAATGTCGTCAAAAATACATGTTTTATCGAGGGAAATTTGGCAACTCTCGAATGTTCATACGGCGTTCTTCCTTAGCACGACAGCCTAACATGGTCGAGCCAACCAGAGGTGGTAACCGAAGTGGCCATACTCTCCATAAAAAGGTACTCNGGGGGGGGGGGGGGGTAAGAGAGGTCCGGGGGCCTCCTCCAGAAAATTGTTGAATTTTTGAAGCATCTAATACTCAGTTTGAGTCAATTTCATTATGAATAAATACCATATGTGAGCGTTTTTCTTCTCCTCTCCTATGTTCCTTCCTTCTTTCTTTCTTCTCTTTTTCCTCTTCCTTTTTTCGGGCGAACGGGAGGGGGCGTATGCCCCTACACCCGCCAGGATCCGCCTTTGGGCCTAAGAAAGAACACACGTGGTATCGATTAATCTAATCGTCGGTTTAGGGTAATTCGATGGACGCCAAATTTTGTGTCAGGACGTCTAGCCATGCGATATATTGCATTGATGAGTTCAATGTTTTTAGGTAAGTACTTGTCATTTATATCGAATTTTGAGATCGCATTTCTGTTGTTACGAAATTAAAGAATTTACTTACCAAATTTGACGAGAAAAATTCAACGTAATAAGTGCAGGGTTTTTTTTAGAGGAGAAACAAACTGCATGGGGTGCTCCTTGAAGGAAGTTTTACGAAAAAGTCAACGGAACCACTCCTAATACCCCCACTTTTCGTATTAACGTCAATATGAGGTTTTAATATTTCAAAATTTTGTCTGACTCCTCTCATTGACTCGCTCCACTGAGCGGCGCGCCGATAGGAACGAGGGCAGTGCCTGAAATCAAAACGCCTTCAACTCCGTGCGTATGCAACACGGACATCCATGGAGCTCGAATAGTTGCATGCAGGCGTCATAATGCATTTCCTTCCGTATTCGTCGCATGCGACACTGTACGAAGCTTTGATTGTTTCATTTTACATCTAAACTTAATTCCAGCATTGCTTGTTGCGCCGATGAAGAAAACCATTATTGGTTTTTATCGCGACATTGTCAATTTTCCAAGAAATACATATTCTTTGAATGTATTACAACGTTACCGGTCCTCGAAATCGCAAAGAAATTAGGTGTCCCTCAACCTACTCTAATGAGTCGTCCTCGTTTTGGATTTTTTCTGCCTTTCTCTTTGGGAAAAGTCATTTCGACGTTTAAGTGTGTTTACAAAGTGCAATTCCGAAGAATCGCACGGAATTTGGGACAAAAAATGACTATTCGTCTTCCGAAAAAATGAAATACGGTAGGAAATATCTGTGGCATCACAAGCTTTTAGACATTATACAAAATTATAAAACTTAATTAAATTTACAATTTTAATGTGTGAGAGAATTGCTACCTCTGAAAATTACAATTTTAACCTATACTGAGAAAAACTTCCCTCTTAAACATAGCACGACAGGAATTCTTGTTGAGTCAACCGAAAATTTCTTCAAAGTGACAGATTGTATATCTTAGAAGTGGCAAAAATGCAGTCTGAAACAAGGAGATATTATGTTATTTCAACGAGAATGTCCTGTCTCTGATGCATATTAAACAGGACTTCCTTCTGATCCAACGGCAAATTTGTTTTCTGTGTATCTATGAAAGGACTGCACTGAAAAAAAAATCTCGGTGTATTTACTAAGAAAAGGGTAAAATTACCAAGAATTCAGGGTTCTATTTGATCCCAGTTTTTTCTTGGTAAAAGCACCATCTATGGAATTGGTAATTTTACCGAGAAATTTCGGTAAAATTATTGAACTCTCTCGGTAATTTTACTGGACCTTGGTAAAAACGCCAATGTTTTTTATAGACTGTGGTAGAATTACCGAGATAAAATGGCAAAGTTACCGAGAATTGATTACCAATAAAAGTGGTATTCTTACCTGAGAAAAACAGTAAAAATACCGGTTTTTAGGTAAGCTTATCAGTCTGTCTTGGTAAAATTACCAATAATTGGTAAAAAAAAGTGAGATTGTAAAGGAACCAACGGACCTTGGTAAAACCGCCGAGATTTTTTTTTCAGTGTGCTATCGTGCAGAGTTCATTGGCACCGCTTTCGGAGACCGAGAGAGAATCAAGGCCTATGCCATCGCGATAAATAGTGATGATTGGTCTTCGAGCCTACCCAAATCTAATTACTCGAATCTCAAGCGGGCCCATTTTGGTGTGGACTCGAGGTTTTCGGTTGATTTTATCCTCGCTAATTCGTTAATCGCTCGGTTTTGCCGCCAAGAGACCTGACCATGCGGGGGCGGTGCGGATTTGCGCGCCGTTCGAAACAGGGATGCCATACAAATGACCCAAACTAATCCCTCGATGCTGAGAGTACTCATGGAGACATCCGCTCACTTCACTTGCCCGTCCCTTTCTACGCCCGTCAACAATATTTTTCCGTCTTTATCTTTTTGTAACTATCTTTTTTCTTTCTTTCTTTTTTTTTCTAAAAAAAAACATCTATCACCTAGTGATCGGAATACGCATTACTTAACCTGGACCACTTAAGTGCATAACACTACCTTGAAGATTCATCGCTCCAATTTCAGTGGGAACATTTACAGTGCCAACCATCCCCTGTTACTCAGCTACTATTTTTTTGAGGTAAAAAAAATATCTCTCGAAAGAGCGCTCGTTACTTTTCGTTTGCGTGGAAGTGTTGTTATTTTCCTGGTAAAAAAGCAGATGGGCTTTTAGATTTTGTGTTTCTGTGCTTTAGACTACTTACCTGGATTTTCTCCTCGAAGGTAAGTTAATTTGTTTCCTTATAAGATCGAAGATATTCATTAAAAAAAATGTAAAAAGATGTTTGAAATATTTTAAGGTTGGTCTTATGCTAAGCTCGACAGTATTTTTAACACCTCGTTTCAAAATTATTTCAGAGTCGATCAAATTGGTGAGAAGTTTCAGGATGTTTTTTCGACCATTCACGTGTATGGAAGCATTCTTAAAATTCTGTAAAAATTCTTAACGGCGGACATTATGAACAACACGTGTTGAGAAATGAGATACGCTAGTATGATTGGTATACCATTTGGACTCAGAGTTTGCTGATTAGCACCGTTTGAAGTTAGACAAAATAAATGACATACCACATTTTTCCCTTCACTTTTGTTAAGATAGGAGAGTAAGATTTTTCCCTCTGGCCTCCATATGATTCTGACCTTTGACGAAGAAATATTGACAAAAACAATGAAAACCATAGAATTGTCTTAACTGTAGAAAAATGTACATAAGGGAGGAATGGACCACTAGACACAGTACAAATTTCAGCGATCTGATACATGTTTCTTAACCAGAATTTCACGTAGAACACGATTCACACGACGAAAATTACTGAAACCAATTCCTAACGAAGATATTAACGTTTTTATTTCACATTGGTTACGAGGAATTTGAACTGCTCGCTCACAAGAAACTCAAAGCTCTACGTGAGTCAAATCGCACACCACAACGGTTTCGGCAATCTTCTCAATCGAGCAATGTTCATTTCCCATTATGTGTTGTTCAAATTATCAGCAATTTGCTACAGCTGAGGCAAAGCGTCAAGATTGAGAGATGCCAGATTTTTATATCGCAGCGACTGTTATGACACCGTTTGGCGCGCGATGTGAATCACGTAGAGCATTGAGTTTTCATGAGCGGGTGGTTTGAATTTACGCATCAAGAATCATTAAATAACTCCGTAAGGCGTTAATTTCGGTAATTTTTGCTGTGCGCATCGTGTTTTACGGGAAATTTTAGGTATAAAACATGTATCAGAATGCTGAAATTCGTACCTTGTCTATAGTGGTCCAATATTCAACAGAAAACGATATTTCACGTATCAGTATTTTAGAGCAGAAGCGTTATGACTACAATTATTTTTCTGTTATCGAAGCATTGCGAGGAAATTGCCCGGAAGCCTAATTGCTCTCTATGCAATTTCGGAAGTTTTTGTACCTTACGTCTGGCTATACACTAAGAACGATACTTGAAATCACAATATTAGTGGTGGTCCATATGAGCTCTTAATGAAAAGTAGTCATAACAATTTTTTTTTAAAATTGACCCATGATGTCGGTCATAAAATCGTTCTTTACTGGTTAATTCCTGTAATATAAATGCAGAAAAAATGGTTACTACAGTCCGTAGTCATGAGCGGTTCACGTTAAACACATTAAGAATATTTTTAAATCTATCATCCTTCCTCATATTTAAAAATTTACAGTCTCTTCAAAAGAGAGAAGATAATCACACTTAACATAAGCGTTCGTCCAAACGAGTTAAGGCTTCAATTAAGTTTCCTTCAATTATAAATGATACAACATTACATACTAGGCTAGACGCATCAACGAGCATGGTAAATGTATAATCGACAGCCTAATTCAAAAGATGTTTACCATTTAGCTATTAAGTTCATATTCATATGGGAAATTGTCAATGCATTCAGCAAGCTTAGTTTATAATTTCTATGAGAAAAGGTAAAATTTTAATGCAAACTCCATTTAGTGATTCACTTCGCAGTAATATTACATAAAATGTTTAGGAAAATCCTGCGAAAAATTCAAACCATAAAAGATTTTTGGAAAATTCGTATTGTTATCAAAAGAAATTTTACAACACCCGAATGTAGGTAGGCACGGCGCGACGTTTTTGCATAGCCTTTGCAGGTGCTGCTAAAGCAAAGGCGACGCTAATCATGTTTGCATTGATTGAGCAAACATATCGACAGCAAAACTGCAAAAACGCGTACCTCCTCTGTGGTGTCTCAAGATTCCCGCTGCAATTTTATTTTATCAACAAAAAACGAACCTACACTATTTTTTCAAATTTTTACAGAATATTCTCAATCCAGCCAGAAAAAGTTGAGAAGCGTTCAAGAAATGGCATATTGAGTATTTTTTTATTAAAAAAAAAGGTTATGAGAGGAAGATTGCAGTATCACAAATCAAGATACGCGTTTTTGCAGTTTTGACAGCAATATGAATCTCTAAATGATGCCAAATTTCCTCGTTTTGACGAAGAATTAATTTCACCGTGAAAAAGAATGATAGATTCAACCATATATTCATCCTGATCTTGGCACCAACCAAGAAATATGGTTGAATCAACCAAGTCTGTGATGGATGATAGCGTCTTACATGGGAAATGCAACCGAATTCCTTGGTTGGTGCTAAAATCAGCTGTAAATATGATCATCTATATCATTTCTTTTTTTTCTGTGTACACAAGCGAGATAATCATAAATTTCCTCTTCAATCCGCAGCATCATTCGGTCAAATGGACCGCGTTTAACATAAAAGAACCAAGCTACATCAGCTATTGCCAGATTTAACTGGACAATTAAATTTTTTACGAGAGAACGTTTGTGTGGGTTCCTTTGAAAATTTGTAGGAATTGGCTTTGTACCACGGAGAAAATTCACTGAAATTTGCACGAAAATCCGCACAAGCGTTTTCATGTAAAAATCTAAACCGTCCAATTATATTCGGCAATAGCTGATGTGGCTTGGTTCTTCTCTGTTTAACGCGGTCCAAATAACAATTGAATCGACTTATGCGAGAACGTCCGTTGTCCAATACAGGGTTTCATAATTGCGGTGGGTTTCTTTTTTCCCACGACACTGATGAATAGAATCGATCTCTTTTGTAAACGTTCATTGCACTTAGGGGATTATGTATAAAATTGTTCTACATTCCTAACGTCTTAAATCACCTTGTGTCGTTAAGTTGCGATGAAATTGTACGCTCGAATTCTGAAACACTGTCTTGGACATCGGACGTTTTCGCATACTTCGATTCAATGGAGATGTTGCATGTGTGAGGGATTTGCGATTTGACCATTGATTCTTTTGCAAAAGTTCGCGAGAAACACGATGGTGCCACTGGTTTCCTCTGAAATCATCTCCCAAGCTCAAAAAAAGCTCTCAAAGTGAGGCCGAAATGGAGAGGATATCCCGCCCTACCCTGAGAGTCCACCTCTACATCAAAACAAACTGTCCATGCGAAGATAGGGAGCAAATACATTAGCAGGGTGGCCGTGTTTTCAGTTTTGGAGTCCCCAAATAAAGTGGCAGCCCTGTCAATGTATTTGCTCCCTATCTTTGCATGGAGAGTTTGTTTTGAAGTAGAGGTGGACTCTCAGGATAGCGTGGGATATCCCCTCCATTTTGGCCTCACTTTGAGAGCTCTTTTTGAGCTTGGGAGATAATTTCAGAGAAAACCAGTGGCACCATGTTTTTCTCGCGAACTTTTACCCAAGAATCAATGGCCAAATCGCAAACCCCTCACACATGCAACATCTCCATTGGAAAAGATTCACCGGCTCTCTGGAAAATCCGCATTTCATCGGAAAAACTTGACAACGTCAGAATGTTGATACGGTGTTCTTGCCTAGCACGACGATTGCAAGTGCAGTTAAAGCGACGGGGATGCTAATCATGTTTGCGTTGATTGTTCGAAGGGAAGATGACGGGCGGGCTGGCGCGACTGTTGGCAGCCTTGATGTCGCTGGGTATGGCTTCGGCGCTGTGCTCGTCCAGGGACCACGAGACGAAAATAATCATCGGGGCACTCCTGTCCCTTCACAACGGGGAAAACTGCACGCAGGTCGACTTGGGGGGCATGCAGGAGATGGCCGCCCTCGAGGGCACCATCAAGGCAATCCTCAAGAACAAGGCGGACGCTGTCCCTTTCGATATAGGTTAGTATCGTTACTCTTAACACTGGTGAATAAGAAGAAAAACAAACACAATTAATAATAGGACGCATTTCTGTCAAACGGAACTATGTGCATTAAGACATGAGCCCCGAGACCCATAATAATGTATGCACAACAGGGCTCACGTCATAATGCACATAGTTCCGTTTGACAGAAATACGCCCAATAGATTGATTTATATTGTTGGGTTGACGTTTCCAAACAAAATTTCCGTTTTTAAGGTGATTCGATGGACGCCATATTTCGTGTCAGAACGGCATGCGATATATCGCATCAATTCGTTCCATCTTTTTAGCTACTCGTCATTTTTCTCAAATTTTGAGATCGCAATTCTGTTGTCAGGAGACTATAGCACTCTCTTACCAATTTTAACAAAGAAATTCAACGTAATAAAGACGTGGTTTTTTTAGAGAGAAAATATCGCATTCGATACTGATATCGAAATTGCACTCGAATGCGATATTTTCTCTCTAAAAAACCACGTCTTTATTACGTTGAATTTCTTTGTTAAAATTGGTAAGTGAGTGCTATAGTCTCCTGACAACAGAATTGCGATCTCAAAATTGGAGAAAAATGACGAGTAGCTGAAAAAATGGAGCCAATTGATGCGATATATCGCATGCCGTTCTGGCACAAAATATGGCGTCCATAGAATCACCTTAACACTAGTGAATAAGAAGAAAAACAAACACAATTAATAATAGATTGATTTATTGTTGGGTTGACGTTTCCGAACAAAATTTCCGATTTTAACACACAAAAACCTGGACTGGCATTTCCGCACAAAATCAGCCGGCAAAACTTTATTTTTTGCACGCTTTAGCAACACCGCGCAGATGATCAAATCGTGCTCCTCTTAATCTACATCCAAAAAGATTTTGAACAATTAGAGGGAAACATTTTACTGACCTATTGTTCATCGGGGATCGTTACATTTTTTGTAAAAGATAACACCGTAAGTTTTTTCATCATTTGATGGCAAGGAGCCTTGTGTAACTTGTGCGGAAACGTCAATTACGATCTTTGCGTGGAAACGTCGAAATCCCGGATTCTGTGCGGAAAATTCATACTTCCGATTAAGTGACTACTTCACTTGATATGATATCGAACTCTTGGTTCAAACCAAAACAAATAATATGACCCAACATAACTTCACGTACAAATTCTTGGTGCGTTAATTGTGTTATTTCATTACAATTTAGTCATCAACAGCTCTTGAAACAATTAAGGATTCATTAAATACAAGCAATTTTGATTTTAAGAAACACTTGGGCGCATTTTAACACCATGACGCGAAGCCATAGAGCGCCTCTAAAAACGATGAAATTAAAGAAATCCAAGGTCTATTAACTTTTTTCTCTTTTTTTATTTTCATAAAAGACGAACTTCGTTATTTTAGCTGAATCAGTCAATTCATTTTAATTAGATCAAAGGAATTCCGAAGAAAACGTGGTCACAAAAATTTAGGCGTTACTACTCTCTTCGGTAACACAGTAGGTCAGTGCGGTAGAGATTAGATACCAGAGTACCTGTGTTGGGAGAGTATGGACAAGTCAGTAACTCTGAGGTTAGGTCATGGAGTTTTTAGGGCCCAAAAGAGCAGCTAACCTATGAATTCTAATTATCAGTGTGATCTATTATTACAAAAGTTACGATCCGCCGTTTGTAAAGCACGGATTTGACTTAAGCCTCACTATTCGCAATTATCGAACAAAAGTTCAAATAATCGCGCCAAACACAGTGCGGTCGGCGTGAAACGCATATCAGGGCCTACAAACCCGTAGGAATACTTCGCGCATTGCTCTAAACGCAGTGCAGTCGATGGGACCGCGCATAAGCGCCTACAAGACTGGAGAAATACCTCACTCATTGCGCATACACCACGGTGCGGGTGCGCCCTTTATTAATCGTTCACTCAACTCAATCGTAACACTCCAAAACGTGGAAGCAACGAGATTTTGTTTCGTTATTTTCGTGTTCTATTACGAAACCCCAAGCTCGCCCATAAACTTGAACTAATAAGCACTTTCCGACACATTTCCAAGAATATAAGTTGGGATACGTTACCGTATTTGAATCGGTCGAAGCTGAAAGTTCACGTTAAAAAAGGGCTAATGTGGAATGGTGTAACGAGTGACAGCTACAAGCTCTCCCCTTTGCAGTTGACGTCTTTTGATAGCTCTGCTCATGAAGCATGTCAAGTCGAGCTCGCTACACACAATTAAACCCAGTTTTACGGTCATCGATGTCACACAACACGTATAGAGTGCGATGTGAACCATTTTTCAATATATTAATGTGTCCGTTTACGGAAACAGGGACCTGTACATCCACAAAATTAATAATTGAGCCATCGATGATAGCAGGAAGGTTCGACGAACATATCGGGACAAAACTTTCAAAGGGGAATATCGCTTGCTTGTCCTGAACCCCATTGTAATGAGCCATTTTGCTATAAACTTAGTGACTTTATGGAAACTCGAATAATTTGAGAGGAAGGTATTTGAACGTGGCCTTTGCAGGATTGCATATATACCTTTTTGCGGGCGATTCATGCACGCTAGTTAGAACATGAACCTAGTTCACCGTAGAAACAAAATGAGCCTAATATGGCGCCTTCAATAAAGCTCAAATTATATGAGCGGCAACTATTCGAACACGGCCTTCGTGGGGTTGTATACTTCAGAATTTGAAGGGAACTCTTGATCGCTCGTCAAAAACACAGACGTAAAAAGATGAGCTATTTGTCTTGAACTTCGCTCGTTCATTTAATTTGTACGATCTATTTAAATACGACAGTTGTAGAATTGCATAGGCAACATATTGAAGGCGATTTATGCTCGCATGTCAGATAATGATTCTTACTAATATTGAAAGTGACTGTTTCAACAGTTAAAGAAAAACCACCCTTTCTTGTTCAATAATGGAGTGTATCTTTGTTGTGGTTTTTGTACCATTTTATTTCCGATTTGCATACCGAGCCGTATCTTTTAACTTTAAAAAGCGCTCTTTTACCGTTCTGCGGCTTTTATCTATGATTGATGCTGTTTGCTTTATTTTACTACGAAATAATTTTAAACAAATTAAGCTTTGTGAATACAGCAATTGAAGAGGAAAAAGGCTATTTCTGCACTGGCGGTACAGCAAACGTCTAGGATACAGAAATAATGGAATTTTTGCTTTATTTTTGATAGAAATTCTTTTGTTTTTGTTTTAAGTGTGATAGTTTAGTGGGAGAGAACTAAAAACCGAAACAGATTAGGTATCAGTCTTATTCGCGACTGTATATCGAACGACAAGTTCTGTTTCTCTAATATTCTGGATGATTTTTCTTTTAGAACTGAAAACGTTTGACACATGTTCAACGGAAGAGGGTGCTGTGAAAGGAGTCCTCAAGGCTTTGGTGGCCTCGAAACAAACGTGTGCTACGCCTCCGCTTTTTGCAGGTACTTATAATAATTGGAGGTATTTATGCTAAAAGGAATTATGTGCATAGGGTTTGCGAGAGACATAGTTCCTTTTAGCATAAAATACAGCTTATTTGGACGTATTTATGCTAAAAAGAACTATGTGCATAGGGTTTGCGTGAGACATAGTTCCTATTAAATGCGTCGCTTCTCTGACGTAAGGGCGTATCTCTATTTCCAGATGAGCCCCGGAAAGCATGGAGTCATATTGAGAACAGGGCTCACATGAAAATTTAGATACGTCCTTTTGTCAGGGAAGCGAGCGACGTTAGGACTTATATGCTTGTAGTTGAAAAATGGTAGAAACTATCGTTTTGTTCATAGTATACATCTCTTTTCGTTTATGTCCCCTGGTAAACATTGGTAGTAGAATCTGTGTTCCAAAATAACATAGACCTACAGCCGGCTGTAAGATTTCCAATAGCTTCTATTGCTGGCAACACAATTTCTCACAGCCTTTTTCAGCCGATGGCGACTAAGCAACAGCCTGGCGATAAAGTGTATGCTAAACGTTACTAAATTACGGATGCTTAGTGAGTTTTTGGACTATTGCTCTCTTTTTGGGCCCATAGTATCTTGATTTATTTTGCGAGGAAAGCTCCGTGCTTTTGATGGATGCCTGCCATTCCTAATATATTAGATCGCCTTCAGTTTCGTATGATACTGTGCAATACCTCTCGTGTGAAATAGCTGCTTCAAGCGCCATGGTACGCTACGGCGCGGCACGGCGCACTATGGTCCACAGACCCTATTTAACGGAACTTTAGTCAAATTTTGAAGGTTGGAAAAATTAAAGTTTGGCACTACAGTTTTATCATACATACTCCCATGGATCGTCACCTAAGTTTTCATCGACTAATAATGATTTATAAGATTGTGACGGACCCTAACAACAGAGCGCGCGACAGGTCTTCATTAGCTGATTGTGGGCCGCATTCGGTGGTGCGTTACAAGGTGTTTATTTTACCGAGTTACGCATCATCTATGTAAATTTTTGGGCAACATGGTTCCACCTGGTGGCAAGTGACTTCCTTTTCGCCCAGTTTCATTAACTTTGAACTAAAATTTGTATGCTTTTTAACGCTGCAAACATACGCCAAAAAATGATAGAAATCAGTGAAATTCGTAATTTTTAGGAAGCTCCAACTTTTTTTTAATTCTAGTTAATGCTTTGCAGATTGAAAAATCTTGTTCTACATATCCTTAAGTTTAAAATGAGGCCAATTTAAATGTCGCCTTTTGTCGCCTAATGGTCGAAATGAATTTTTTTCGGAGTGCACCTCCGTGCATCAAAATGTGGAATATTCCACGCATTTTTGGCGTTTTTGCGACTGTTAAATTTTTTATCGGTACAAAATGAAAGTATTCCGATATATTTTGATCTACTGAGTCCGAAAATGACCTTGGTTTTTTCTTATAACCTCTCACTTTTCCGACAAAGCGATTTTTTCCCGGGAAAATGAGCAAATTTGACGTATTTTTGCCATAATTGCAATTCATGTTGATAAATTATACTGGACCCGCGGTAAAGAGATTCTGTTATGTATATTAAGCTGCTAAATCCGAATATGACCTAGGTTTTTTTTATTACCCTCCAGTTCTCCGATAATGCCGATTTTCCCGAGCCTTTTGGGTAAAACCTTTTCCGGACTCTAAGTGTGTTAAAAATACATTTTAAAAATGATTTCGGTGTGCGATACATCGATTCTTATGCATTCTGACTTGCTAAACCCGAATATGGCCTTAGATTTTTCCTATCACCCCTCATTATCCCGGAAAATTCAATTTTCCTTGGAGAACGAGCTTTTCTGGGTAAAATCGGTTTTTCCGAAAAATTGAAGAGTAATGGGCAAAAACGGAGGTCATATTCGGATTTACCGCCTAAAAATACATAAGAATAACCTAATCTCGACCGAGAGACATTTTTGTTATTATTTTTATACATGTCAAAATAGGGTGGAAAAAATCTTCAATCTTAAAAGCGCCAGAAATTACATTTGAAGTTAAGTTTCTCGGTCAGGATGTTAATATTTTGTTTAACTAAGATGTAAAATGAAATCAGCGACTCAAAAATCATAAGAGCCAACACCTTTTATGGCGGTGCAGTGCATTTTCGAATAAAGTTCCGTTAAATCCAGTCTGTGGACCATAGTGCGGCGGGTGGCGGGCGGGCAGCCAGCGCGCAACGCGCATTGGCGCCTACAAACCTAACAGGGATACTTCACGCATTGCGCAATGCGTGACGTATCCCTGTTAGGTTTGTAGGCGCCATTGCGCCGCCGCGCGCCGCTCCGCTTTGTGTTAGGCTCTAATATTTAATCTCATGGAGTCAGCGTTTTTCAACTGACTTTGAAATGTTTGCACACTCTGTTCTGAATGGATTATTCTCATTGTAATTGATGAACAAAATATGTAGGTAGTAAAGGAAAATATAATGTGCGTTTTGTAAATATTAAGGTGATTCCGTACAAATTTAAGGATTTACAAAGCACACGAATTTCTACACAATTTCTTATAGCATTTTATAGCCGATGGCGAAAAAGCAACAGCCATGCGATAAAGTGTAAAGCCCGGCGATAGGAACTATAGCCCGGCTTCATAATGTTTTATCGCTTCGTGCAGCCCGGCCGTATGATTTTTTCCACTTTCTACAGTCAGCTATATAATTTTCTATCGCCTTCTTCAGTCGGCTATAAGAATTCCTATGGTATTTTGAAATGCAGCTCCTATCGCCAATTTTTACCAGGGAAAATCGCACCGAAAAACATCAACTTTCAGGGTCACCAAAATAGCGAATTAGCTATACTCGAATATGAACTCTCAGCTCATGGTAGTCAGAAGCACTGATTCCAATAATTTTACCGTTCATTGGTAAAGCTATCGCCGATGGTAAAAATACCACTATTAAATGATTATGGCTACCATTGATTATGAGTTCACATAAAACATAACTATTTCAGGAATTATGACTATGAATTTTACTGAGTGCGTATCAATGGCGATTGTTTCTTGAAAATTTATTTATTCAGGAATATAGTCCACAATAACCTTCTTTCTGTAGTTCCGAATCGGACACGTTCTAAAATTCTTGAGACGTCTAGAACAATTTTATGCTGTTCTTTCCGAGTAATTTAATTTGATTTTTTTATGTTTCTATAGCTTTGTCTACCAATTGAACGTGTTTATGCTAAAAAGAACCAGAAGCATGGGAAAGATGGGTTGCGCTCGTGCAAGCTGCATAAGAATCAATGTTTAAAAGTGGGTGTGATTCCTTTTGGGAAAATGGAGAAGTGGGATTTTACATAAAATCAAAAGGAACCAAGCGCCAAAATATGTTAACTCATAAGCCGTGGGCATGTAGCAAGAGTGTTGTGGACAGGGCTCATGAGTTTTAAGACTCGGATCGTCGTCTCCGTTCTCGCCACTGACGTCACTGGCGCTTTATAATTCCCATTAATTCTTACGGCCCTAAAATCGTCGTCCCCGCACGAAGGAACGTAACTCCATGCCATTGTTGCCAAATTGACTCAAAAAATTAATCTATTTTACAAAGTCATACCTGTGCAATTTTTATCGAACATTTTGCTGACTTTTGCATGAAATCTGAGGTACAATTAGTGAAATTTTCAGTTAGGAACGCCGAAGATTCTCCTAGTTAACAAGCAATTTGCGAGGAGAAATTTGGCAACATAGAAATCAAGTTAAGTTCCTTCTTGAGGAAAACTACGAACAATCGAGCGCACCCCTTCTTTTCCACCCGTCTTTGGTTTCTTATAACATACATATCGTCGTTTTCTGAACAAGGAACTTAAGTCCATTCCAAGGTTGCAAAATTAACTTACAAAATTAATTTTTTACAAGAATATACCCAAAATTATTCTGATTTTCTCATGAGATTAGAGGGAAAATCGGGTGAAATTTTCAGTTACACAGGTCCTAGATTCTCCTGCAAAAAATGGAATTTGCGAGGGGAGATTTGGCAACATTGAAATGTAGTTACGTTCTTTCATGTGAGGAACGACGATATGTCCAATTTCGACAGTAAGCCCGTAGCTTCGCCATACTCGCCAAAAATTTAACGATTTCGTGTCTGCCGTGACATACAGTGGCGTGGCGTGCTTTGCGATATATCGATTGGTAAGCCATTTAATCCTATGGTAAAGAATTGATTATTAAGGTGTTCGCTGCGAACCCCCTATTTATCGATCCTTTTCCATAGGTTAAAATGGCTTAACAATCGATACATCGCAATTCACTGCTGGTGACATACGATTATGCGACTCCCAAAGAGTGATTTTCACTCTTAATATACTATGAGTTACAGGTTTCATCGGGCCGAGCGAACCGGACCAACTGATCGCGGCCCACCAGGTCTCGGCCGTGTTCAACATCACGCACTCTGTCCCCGTCATGCCACCGGTTCCCCCGTTGATCTCACCGCAGCAGTGGGCTAACTCCGTCTACGCAGTATCGCAAAGTGCCGCCAAACATCGTGTACAGGTAGGGTATCGTCCACAAAACTCCGCAGAGAGAAACGTTACTTGGATACGTGCAACAGAAAGGAACCAAGCCACATCTGCTATTGCCAAATTTAACAGGGCACTTCAATTTTGTTTTCACAGGAGAGCGTTTGTGCGGATTCTTGGGAAGATTTTGTCGACTTCGCTTCGTGCTATGCTGAAAATTCAATGATATTTGCAGGAAAATCCACACAACCTTTTTTATGTGTATGTAAAAAATTTAATCGCCTAGTTCAATTTGGCAATAGCTGACGTGGCTTGGATCCTTTCTCATTTTAACGCCGCGCCGTCCACTTGGGAGACTTGGGAGTGAGGTCAGTGAAACGTAGGTATACTCTTGCAGACCCACCGAAACGCAACTCTTCATTTTCTGCTGTTGATAGATATAAGAAAACAGCCGCCTTGCTGAAAGTATGTGAATTTTCATTTTCAACGGATTTGCTTGCACACATTTGTATTTTTTATTTTTGTCAGAGTCAGACGGTCATATTTTTCGGCCAAAACTGCAAAATTTTTGAAATTCAAATCTCGCTCTAAGGTTCACGCAAGCAAATCACTGAAATTGACTCCTCACAAAGATACAGAAGTTCTTATTTAGCACTCGTTACGGAAAATTTGAATATCCCGCTCATAAGAAAAACCAGAGTTAAGTCTACGTAAATCAAATCGTACGACACTACAACGCCTTTGGCAGGCTACATGAGCAGTGTCTCCCTCCTCCATCCTGCGCTGTTCTATTCTGCTGGTAAAAATTCTTGGTAAAAATCTTATAGCCTTTTATAGCCGATGGCTGCTAAGCAACAGCCTGACGATAAAGTGTATGCTAAACGTTACTCATTACGGATGCTCGGACTTAGTGAGTTTTTGGACTACCGCTCTCTTTTTGGGCCGGAGTATCTTGATTTATTTTGCGAGGAAAGCTCCGTACTTTTGAGGGATGCCTACCACTCCTAATATGTTGGAGCGCCTTCAATTTCGTACGATACTGTGCAATACCTCTGGTGTGGAATAGTTGTTTCAAGCGCCGTGGTACGCTGCGGCGCGGCGCGGCGGGCGGGCAGCCAGCGCAAAACGCGCATTGGCGCCTACAAACCTAACAGGGATACTTCACGCATTGCGCAATGCGTGAAGTATCCCTGTTAGGTTTGTAGGCGCCAGTGCGCCGCCGCTTCGCTTTGTGTCATGCTCTAATATTTAATATCGTGGAATCAGCGTTGTTCAACTTGTAACTTTGAAATGTTTGCACACTCTGTATGGATTATTCTCATTTTAATTGATGAAAACAAATATGTAGTAAAGGAAAATATAATGTGCGTTTTGTAAATATCAAGGTGATTCCGTACAAATTTAACACTGAAAAAAAAGTAGTTAGCGTTGAGAACTAATTTGGTTGGTTCTCGCCAAGTAGAATCAAAATTAGGCTTCAGAACTAATTTATTGTACTGAAGCACCAATCAATTCGCTTCATACGCTGACTTGACTTTACTAGAGCGCGAACCAGAATTGGAAAACAGCACTAGCTGTAAAATTAGCGCTGTGGTAAGACAAATTCACCTTCGGGTCAAACTAATTCGCCCTCAACACTAACTGCCACATTGTCCGTTACATTTATTTAGTTTCGAAAAAGTGGCGTCGGTACAACAGCCTCAATCGCGTCAGCTCGTGAAAATCAATTAAAATGTGAAATTTCGGGCTCGTTTGACAATGTAAATACTCCCGGTATGATTTATAGTGTCCTCTCTTTCTTGAAAACGTTCGAAAGCAACATAAATAAACCTGTTAAGGTTAGAAATCGTCTGTTCGATTCAAAACGTAAACAAGCATGATATTCGTTGGAGTCGTCAATCTTCTGTATTAAATTGCGATTAAAGCGTTCCGCGTTCAGTTTATATTTTACGAAAATCTGTGAACTTACTGCTTACTTCTATAGTTCGTGTTCTCCCGTAATTTCAAAAGAATATCTCAAGTGTTCGGACGAGATATGTTTATTCAGTGTGAACATTCGCTACCGTTTCATGTGTGAGTGTGTGTCTCTCTAAAGGATAATTCTGTCTACTTGCACATACCTATGGGATATTCCTTTCCTCTGTCGTTCATTTGGAACCGGTCAGTTGATTTTTACCTCTCATCTTTTAAGAAATCTTCTTTTCCTGAAAGTATTGTCCAGTTATCATTCGCTAAGCCGTTTTCTCCTCTCTCAGTTTTGAGGTTAGGTTGACCCAACCCTACCGAATGCGAATTAGAGTAGCGGAATTAGTTTCCAGCACTAATAGTGGTTAGTGTACAGAAACCAAAAATCATGTGTGTCCAAATCACACAATTTGAGTTAGTGTATAGAAACCATTTTTAGTCATCTGACGCTAACTCATTTTTTTCAGTGAAGGATTTACAAAGCACACGAATTTCTACACAATTTCTTATAGCCTTTTATAGCCGATGGCAAAAAAGCAACTGTCAGTCGATAAAGTGTAAAGCCCAGCGATAGGAACTATACCCCGGCTGTATAATTTTTTTATCGCTTCGTGTATCCCGGCTGTAAGATTTTTTTCCACTTTCTACAGCCAGCTATATGATTTTCTATCGCCTTCTTTAGCCGGCTATGAGAACTCCTACGGTACTTTGAAACGCAGCTGCTATCGCCAATTTTTACCAGGGGATGTGAGATGTGCATAACCTCAAACTTGCTTGCTGATAACAGCCATCTCGTTTGTTTATTTACGGCCGTAAGAATATCGTGTCAGCCTAAATTTCACGCATCCAGATTGATGTTGCCATATGCATACAGCAAAGACTGTTGAAGAAACGTGTAGTGTGATTTAATTCGAGAAGATTGTGGCATGTATACAAGCGGGAAGCTTGAATTTATGCATCCAAAAATATTACTGATTGGTAATTGATGGTACTACTTTTTTTTCATCAGGCTATAATGAAACTGCTGAAACATCTCAACTGGAAGTCGATAGCCATCATCTCCGACGATTCAAGTGAGAGCATTAAAAGCGTCAACATGCTCCAAACGCAGAGCAATCTCTGTATCAAAACTATTCTCAAAATGAACGCCGGTGGCCTCTTCAACGATATCATAGCTCAGATATCTGCGCAAGGTACATATATTGTCAAAATATACTTTTATATATATTCCAGCACCGATTAAAACCTAATACAGTAAAAGCTCGCTAAGACGAAATACGATCAAGACGAAAACCCGCTCGAGACGAAATTTTATTCGGTCCCTTGACACTTCCATAAGAGTCAATGTTAAAAAAATACGAATAAGACGAAACTTCGAAATTTTGACCCGTAACCAAAGTCGGTTAAGACGAGGAAAAATTTCCGATTTTTTCCCCCTGAAATTGGGTAAAAACGACAAAAAAAAGCCAATTCTTAGTGAAAATAGACTTAGTTTTACATACCTTGACATAAAAAGAGTAGGTTGAGAGTAGATCGTGGGTATCCTTTGTTTTGCTGGATGACTGAGATGCAATCGACAGATGACGATGAACCGATTTGCGTATTTTAAAAAAATTCAAAATTTGGATTTCTTATTGTATAAAATTTAAAACTGATAGTTAATAATCTTTCAAAAAGTCATTCACTTAAAAACTCTTCACCTGACCTTTGATCTTGTTCACCTCAAAAATGATTTCAGGATGAATGAGAGCAGCACGGATACCAGCGCAACTTTGAAGCGCAGTTGCTGCTTATGCCGAAAAATTTCGTCTTAAGCGAAGAACGGTTAAGACAAAAAGCCGCTTATGACGAAATTTTTTTCGGTCCCTTTCATTTTGCGTCTTAACGAGCTTTTACTGTATTACCTGTTTTCATGAAATATCATGGTGTGATATCTCGAAAAATGTCTCGCAAGTTTTCATGCATTTCGTTGTATGCTTAAATTGTTGGTGACATTAGGACATGACATTCCGTGAGGGGGGGGGGGTTCTCACACTTATAAAAACACCAATAACTCGGTTTTTTTTGTGTGTGTATAACAATGGTATTTTGCGGACTCCTCAAAACCACACGTTCACCAGAGTCATTACTTTCAAAAAGGGCAGAAGTCCAATTATTCGAACTCATTTTTATTTGCGTTTTTGACGCTCTTTTTACTCGAAATTCGCGTTTCTGTGCGTCTGTCACTCGTGTTCCAAGGAGCGGGCCACTGTCACCTTTTCTATGGTCAAATGTGGTAAGGAAACCCGGGGAGTTCAACAATGCAAACAAAAGTGATTTCGGAAAATGCACTGCTGCTTGATTTAAAACACCGATTCAACTGAGATTTCGATTTTTCTTTTGTCACGAAACCTAAAATTACCGACGTGTCCGCATACCCTCCTGACCCGAGTAGCAGTGATTGCGATAAGTTGCGATTTGATCGGAGAATGTATCGCAATTTTATCGACGCCGATTTATAGACCGTATTCGATAACGGTTCGATGTATCGTTTGGTTCCAAACGATAGAACATAACCTCGAACAAAACTGTAAGAATTTAAGTTGGAAAAGCTGAAAATGAGAAATTTCCTGACAATTTCACTTTGCATTGGCATTTGGTACTCAAAAGAATAAAAAATCTGTTACAAAAGACCCGTTCTCTCAGATTTCTGAATTTACTTTTGAGGCTATGTTTATGTTTTGAACTAATCGATATCGATACAATCTCACCCGTTTGATGTATCGAATACGATCTATTGCAATATTCTCGAAAAAAAATTGCGATTAATTGAGATAAAATTTCGATTTTATCAAACGTGACTTTATAGAGGTAAAATTGCTACAGGATTGAGGATAATCGCTCAGATTACGCGGTAATTTCGTAGCAATTTTATCGCCAAAAATCGCAGAAAAATCGCAACTTAATTTCAAAATATCTTGATTTTTCCGTTGGAAAAAGCAGCTTGGGTACACTGCCGTGCTAAGGAAAAACGCCGTATGAACATTCAAGAGTTGCTCTATTTTCTCCGATATGATTTTCATTTTGGAAGGAAGTTTTGCATCTTTGTCCTTGAAATTTTCAGATAATTATAAATTAAACTGCGAGCAATGTTGTCTGAAAAATTGGAATCCGCAACTTTACGAGTAAAATCGCATTTTATCAAAGTAAACTTGGCTACGCCTAAAGGCTCATACGGCGTTCTTCCTTAGCACGGCAGTGTATAGGTACTCTACAGTGGCGTGGCGTGAATGATCGATTATTGATATTTCCCCATTTAAACCTATGGTGAAGAATCGATTATTAAGGCTTTTGCTGCGAACATCCTGTTAATCGATCCATTTCCATAGGTTTAAATGACAGATCAATCGATATATCGCAAAGCACGCAACGCCACTGGTACTCTAGATCACCTTGTATAGCTCGTTTTGCGGTCCAGGATGCTCGTGAGTGTGCCTGAAAATCGTGTCGAAATATGATGATGTGTTTCCGGTTGCAGACATTGACGGCGTGTTGGTGGTGACGGAGCGAGTAAAGCGGTTCAATAGGCTGTTTCGATTCCTGGAGACGAACTTGGGCACCCACGTCCACGCAAGTTTCCTCGTCTACGTTGCGCATGTGGGCATCGCGTCATGGCAACTGCCTCACAGTACCATCCTCATGCAGGAAATCAGGTATACATTCCATCACACTGAAAAAAAAATCTCGGTGTATTTACTAAGAAAAGTATAAAATTACCACGAATTCAGGGTTCTATTTGATCCCAGTTTTTTCTTGGTAAAATTACCATTTATGGAATTGGTAATTTTACCGAGAAATCTCGGTAAAATTATTGACTTTCTCGGTAATTTTACTGGACCTTGGTAAAAACGCCAATATTTTTTATCGACTGTGGTAGAATTACCGAGATGAAATGGCAAAGTTACCGGGAATTGATTACCAATGAAAGTGGTATTCTTACCTGAAAAACAGTAAAAATACCGGTTTTTAGGTAAGCTTACCAGTCTGTCTTGGTAAAATTACCAATAATTGGTAAAAAAAGTGAGATGGTAAAGGTACCAACGGACCGTGGTAAAAACGCCGAGAATATTTTTTCAGTGCACCAGTGGCCATTATCATAAAGTGGCAATGCTGGGTTTAGCTTGTTCCAAAATGCGAAACGATCGATATACCGCAGGCGAATGGTCCATAATGGAGCTCTTGCATGTGTCAGGAATTTGCGATTTAGATGCTAATTTTTATGTGAAATTTTGCCAAAAACACGATGGTGCCACTGATTTTCTCTAGAACAAACTCCGAAGCTCAAAAAAAGCTCTCAAAGTTGAGGCCGTAATGGAGGAAAATCCCACACAACTATCTCAACTAAGCGACTCTATTATACTGTATGCACGAAGGACGCGAATCAAAGACAAGGTTATGTTTATGTTTACAATGGAGATGTTGCATGTATAAGGGATTTGCGATTTGACCATTGATTCTTGTGTAAAAGTTCGCGAGAAACACGATGGTGCCACTGGTTTTCTCTGAAATCAACTCCCAAGCTCAAAAAAAGCTCTCAAGTTGAGGCCAAAATGGAGGGGATGTCCCACCCTACCCTGAGAGTCCACCTATATCAAGACCAACTCGCTATGCAAAGATAGGGATCAAATACATTAACGGGGTTGCCACTTCGTAGGGGGACGCCAAGACTGAAAACACGGCAACCCTGCTAATGAATTTTATCGCCATCTATGCATAGAGATTCCTAAGGGTAGCATGACATATCCCTTCCATTACGGTCTCATCTTTGAGAACGCGTTTTGAGCTCTGAAGTTGATCTCAGAGGAAGCCAATGGCATCATTGTGTTCTTTCCGAAGGTCTACATAAGAATCAGTGCTTGAATCGCAAATTCCTGGCACATGCAAGAGCTCCATTCGGGACTTTATTGACATGTCTATAAGTAAATAGTCACGTTTTGAGGGCTAAACAAGTTTTGTATGCACAGTGAGAACAAGTAACTGACATTTTGTGTTAAAATGGGAAGTAGAATTCCAAGTAATTTTAACGTGCACTTGATAACTTTTGGTGAGTTTTCCTGTGAGGTATGTTGCGGCCAGTGGCGTGGCGTGAACGATCGATTATAGATATCTCGCCATTGGAAGCTACGGTAAAGAATCGATTACTAAGGTGTTCGCTGCAAACACCCTGATAATCGATCTTTTTTCATAGGTTTGAAAGGCGTATCAATCGATATATCGCAAAGCGTGGCGTGAATGATCGATTATAGATATCTCGCCATTTGAAGCTATGGTAAAGAATCGATTACTAAGGTGTTCGCTGCGAACACCCTGATAATCGATCTTTTTTCATAGGTTTGAGTGGCGTATCAATCAATATATCGCAAAGCACGCCACGCCACTGGTTGCGACTAAACCTTTTCGTAATTCGCAACCTCATTAGAAATCAGACGCGATCCACCAGGATAGAAACTAGATTGCTTTGGTGATAGTCCGATGTACTAGCCATTCGCATATCACAACCTCTTAGGAGTGATATCGTGAGAAACAAGAGTTAATTAGGGCCTCTTTTTTATCCGAATCGCAGAGGATTGAACTGAAACGCGACACTTTTTTATCCCGGTCTACTGGCGCGGTTCAGCCCATTCCTTATGAAATGGCAATATTTTTGCATACTTTGGTCCATGGATACCGGTTTCAAAGATCAACACGAGTTAAGTATCAAAAAAGATAAACTATATGTATCTGCTAGGCTGCAAGTAAAAATTGCATCTTATTTAAATTTTATTGTCATAAAACCTCAACACGAGAAGTCCCTTCAATTATTAGATAGGCAACATACACAACACTCCGATGCGGTGCCGATTAGTGCATTTTCTTCGGAGAATGCCTCATTACGTTTTTCTGACAATCTAATTGCGATGAGCTAGTCGCGATAGGCACAAGATTATGGGTTTAGCTTAATCCGTAGTCAAAATTGATGAGATGGTCCTAATGCCAAATATTTCTACATTTGATGTCAACGGAGATACCTGTCATCACAAAACACAACGTGTGACGTCATATACTGCGGTAGTGCATACCATATGGTTTCTTCCCCGTTGGTTTCATCAGTCAGTGATACACACATTTACAGTGGTTGCTCGACGTAAAACACGGATCCAACCAAGGAGGAAGAAACCACGATATGCACTACTGCGGTTAATGACGTCATATGCCGTGTTTTTCGATGAGCAATATCTTTGTTAATCATTGGACGGACAACTTGACGATTGAAGAGTCTCGTTATGTTTTCCTGATCTAATCTACAAGCTTAAATCATCAAAGATTCTGTGGCTATCGCAACTGGTCCATCGAGATTACATGGTAAACGTATTGACACAGCATCGGAGTGTTATTTATGTTGCCTACCTACTAATTGAAGGGGCTCCTCTACTCGAATTCAATTGCAATAAAATTGAAATATGTTGCAATTTTTCTTTGCCTTGTAAATTGCTTTACATTGAGTTCACAAATATGTCATCATGGTTCCTCGGTCGACATTCCAAAGTCGCAAAACTGACTCAAACCATTCAATTTTTTACGAGGATGTACTTACTAAATTTTTCCTCGAAAAATGTCTGAATACTTTATAAGATCAAAGGAAATACCAGGGACATTTCCAGTTAGAAATTCCCAAGATTCTCCTGGTAAAAGTGCAATTTTTGAGGAGAAATTTGACAACAGTGGAATGTTGTTACGTTCTTTCGTGGAAGGAGGCGACGATTTTTTGCAATCTGTGCCACTATGCTGCCCCGTGCTGAGGAAGAACGCCGTATAGGCCTTCAAGCGTTGCCAAGTTTCTTTGATAAAAATTGTGTTTATTGAGAAAGGCACAAATATTCCTCCTCCGATTTCTCAGACAATATTGTTTTCAGTTTAATCCACAATATGTGAAAATTTCAAGGAAAGATATGCATAGCTTCCATCCAAAATAAACATTTTATCGGAAGAAATGGCCAACTCTCGAATTTTTTACGGCGTTTTTCCTTAGCACGGCAGTATATGGGACGGGAGGCAAATCCTTGTAGGCAGAGGACAAAATTTCATAAAAAATAAAATATCGAAATTTTTCGTGAAATATTTCATGAAATTTCTGAAAGATATTGAAAAATACCGGTTCCTTTTCATGTTTCGCAAAATGTAAAACTTGTGACTTTCTCCGATTTGTGTGTGTGTGCTTGAAAGTGATTTACATACTCTAGCTCCTGAAAAATATGAAATGGACATATTGCTGCCAATCGGAACTATGTGCATAGAGACATGAGACATAAGACCCATGAGAATATATGCATAAAAGGGCTCACGCCATAATGCACGTAGTTCCGTTTGGCAGAAATACGTCAAAATATTTCACAGCCTTGTGAAATTTCATGAAATATCTCCCTGGAATTTTCAATCTTTCATTTCTTTCCTACGTGCCATGCCACCCCACGTGTAGGGTAAAATTCGTTTTTCTAATCATCTGGCAATGACTGCCCCCAGCCCTTACCCCCACATCCCTCCAACCCTCCTGGTGACTCGCGACTCTCCCTTCTTCGTCCGACGCTAACCTCCCTCATATGTAATCACCCTTTTAGCTTTCAACAGTCTCCTTCATTTAATAATTTACTCCCGCATGTCCCCGTCGGACTCAGCTTGAATCGAGGTCCTCTGTTGACCGCCACTGCCACTCTGGAAGCCTTTTGAGCAGCTTATTTGCATCCGGCAAAGTCACAGCCAGGCTACATGCCACCGACCGGACCCTTTTTCCAGATTGAAGCGAAGTGAAAGCATTCCCCGCGTTAAACCGGAAATATTTCTGAGATCCATGGCTGAACTCTGAAAATCCGTACCTGAAAATTCTACGTCGCTTTCCTCGCGTAATTTTTTTTCTTTAAATTGAATAAACTTGCTATCGTTGAGTTTTTACCCTGGGACGCATATATTATGAAAATAAGAACCATAAGATTTTTTACTTTTTCTTTAAGAACATGAAGTATGAAAGGAACTATGAACGGCTCTGCCGTGCTAAGGAAGAACGCCGTATGAACATTCGAAAATTACCAAATTTCCTTCGATAAAATGTTTATCTTTGAAGATAGTTATGAATATTTTTACTTGAAATTTTCAGGAACTTTAGATGAAATTGCGAACAAAATTATCTAAAAAGTTGAAAGGAAAATATTCATAAGTTTAACAGGAAATTCGTGTTTTATCAAAGGAAATTTGGCAACGCTTGAAGGTTCATACGGCGTTTTTCCTTCGCACGGCAGTGCTGAAGGAACGTATTCTCAGAGTTTATGCATCGAGATATTGCGAGGTCACGATAATGCTTTTTTTCTCTTTTTTTTTCAAGTATTTATTAAGTTATTTGCACGTTTAAAAAACATATTCAAAACAAGGTATAGGAGAATATCATAACATAGTTCAAAAGATCCTAAAATTATGAAGCCCCGGGACCGCCTGATGGCATTACTTCGGGGGCGCACCGTAATGCTGAATTCAACAATATTTATACAAAGGGTGTTCAAAAAGTTTTGCACATTTCCGGGTTTTGCGCGAACAAAAGCAGCTATCGATTTGCGATTTATGTGCGGCAGTTTATATGCGGCAAAATAAATATCCGCGATTTTTTTTCGGTGACATTTTTCATGGAGTGAATGAGGCAATTCAGAGGTCAATCTATTCAAATCCGAGAAAAACTCTTCTCAAACGCATGAAAAAGATCGCAACCCGGGAACATTGCAATTCTGGCTATGCCGCTAACTTCTAAAAAAAGATTTCCTATAATATAGAAATGATGTTCGCCAAAACAGCCTCTTTCACAGTAAAATTATTTCATGTCTAACTATTTTAAGTACATTTCTAGCAATTATTTGACAAGTGTTTTAATAAGGTCTTTTTAACACCGGTCGATTGCCATTCCTGGTCGGAAAGCATAAGTTCCGGATTCACCGCGATCCTCGAATATCCGCGGTGCTCCGGCTCCGATCACCGAGGACAGTGGCGTGGTGTGCATTGCGATTTATAGGTTGATCTGCCATTTAAACCCATGGAAAAGGATCGATAAACAAGGTGTTCGCAACGAACACCTTAATAATCGATTCTTAATCGCAGCTTCAAATGGGGAAACATCGATAATCGATCATTTCCTCCTCGCCACCGACCGCGGATAATCGAGACTCTGCAGTATGTTCTTACGATGTCTTCGGCTTTGCGGCGTGGCAGAGTGAATCTAGAGTCCCTTTATACTGAGAGTCAAGACAATGTGAATCCATTTCTGATTGGTTCCCGTATTTTAGGCCTTCACAGTGTCACAAACGGGAATAAAGATTACATTTTCACCGATTGCAAAGATTATAGTCTGGAATGGACCAGGGAATTACGGGTTCGGCAAGGGACAAACGGAATGAGAGAAGGAACGGAGAAAGAATCTGAGAATGGGCCCATCAAAGATTACAAAAAACGTTCAATTTCTGTAATCTTTACTCCCGTTTGTGACTCCATGAGGGGGTGTTGTCTTGACTCTCAGTATGAAGGGACTCTAAGTGAATCGAGTCATTGAGAGAGGGTGGACATGAAATGGATTGCATTAGCATTGCAATGTTGCAACTTCTTTTGTCTTGGAGGAAAAACCCGATTATCCATTAATAGTTTCTATTTTACTCGCTAAAAACTGTAAATTTAAGACGAAAATTACCATCTAAATTTCATAGTTTTTCACGATTTCCGCAATTTTATTGCAAAAGATGAAGTTGCACAATCTTAGCATCATTGCAATGCTAGTGGTTCCTTTTTGCAAAATACAATCCAAATTCTTTGCAATTTTGATGTTTATTTCTGTCACATTTAAAATTTTGAGTTGTGGCTCTAGAAGAAAATTTCACAAAGAAACCAATGGCATCCTTTTAAAACCTCAAAGTTTTTTATAAACGGAGTTATAAGCGTTTGAAGTTCCCAAATTTGGTCCGACCTCTCCTATTGACTCGATCCACTGTGCGTGGACCCGCTTCCCTATTTTCAACTATTGAATGGGAGTGTTTTGTTGCAGCGAAATGGACACTACCGCCATCCTGCCGTCCTTGAACTCGACGCTGTACGCGAAATTCGTGCAGCAGGAGCTCTCTCAGTTCCTGGCTGATTACTGTCAGCCGGAAATGGCATCTCGACCTGATTGCTCGCTCACCGTCCTCAGACACGTAAGTGCACGAGTTACTCAAGTGTGAAATCAACACGACGATCATTATTTGATTCCTCCGCCACCGATTGGCTCCCGTATCTTCCTTCACAGAGGAGCATAGCACAGGGGGTACTAAATCAGTGGCAACCAGTGGTGTTTCCTCATAGAAAAATAGGGGACCACCCCCTGGCTGCTACGCGGCCGGAATCACGGACAGTAGGTCTACGGAAAAAAGGTCTACTCAAAATATGTCTACATTTTTTGGTCTACAGTCATAATGTCTACAATTACGAAGTCTACTTTTAGAATTCCCAAGAAAGTAAATGTCTACATATAACGTGTCTATTAAAAGAAAATGAATACACGATGATTCTTCTCCATTGACACAACGAACTAAAGAAGTAACTGATATGAGTTCACTCTACCTATTCCATTCAGAAGTGAACTCTGAGCATGGACTTTTTCAGAAGATATCATTATTTGCAGACATTCTCGTAGTTAACTTTTTAGTTCTAGACATTGCAAACGTAAACCAAAAAATGTTGGCTTTCTGCTTGTGGACATTTTCGCTGTCGACCTTCCGTCTGCACACCCGCGGCCGAACCTCCAGGGGGCGCCAAGCACCCTCTAAGGTCCTATGCGCCCTAGAGTCCTTTTATACTGAGAGTCAAGACAACACCCCCTCATGGAGTCACAAACGGGAATAAAGATTACACGAATTGAACGTTTTTCGTAATTTTTGATCGGCCCATTCTCAAGTTCCTTTCTCCGTTCCTTCTCTCATTCCGTTTGTTCCTTGCCGAACCCGTGATTCCCTGGTCCATTCCAGATTATAATCTTTGCAATCGGTTAAAATGTAATCTTTATTCCCGTTTGTGACACTGTGAAGGCCTAAAATACGGGAACCAATCAGAAATGGATTCACATTGTCTTGACTCTCAGTCAGTGGCGTAACGGACTTCCGCTGGGCCCACCCGCAAAAATGTTTCTGCCTCCCCCCCNCCCCCCTATATGTTGAAAAAATTCCAAAATTATCCCCCCTCCCGCCCCTCTTCCTCTCTCGCCTCTTTCCATTCTATAGCCCGCGATACATCTCAAATCACGGACTTGGACTTGGAATGCCTCACCCCTCACCGTCCCGGATCCCGTACCTCGAGCTAGGTTAAATTAAATGGGGCCCCTAAAGGATCAAGGATCTGAAGGGTGGCGGGGGCCCAGCCCAGGCCCAAGGATCTACAGGAGGGCTCAGGCCCAAGAATCGAAGGGTCTCCAAGGGCCTTGGGGGCCCTTTAGATTCTTGGACCTCCCAAAGCCCGAAATACGAAAAGTGACAAAAAAAGAGACAAATTTTAGTAATCACCGAGTGGACATTGGAAGGCAGGAGCCCTCCAGCGAAAAAAAAGTTTGGAACAGTCCGAAAAAAGTGTGAAAAACCCCGAGCTAATGATAAAAATCAGAGGAAGAAGCCCCATCTCGGTAAGTACAGTTTGAAACCAAAGCTAAGCATGAAAGAGAGAGAGACAGAGAGAATAAAATTCCGGCGGCCGAGGGCCCCCTAGGCGCCTGGGCCCCCCTGCATTGCAGGGTCTGCGGGGGCGCCCGTCACGCCACTGCTCTCAGTATAAAAGGACTCTAATGCACCCTGTGCGCTCATCGTGATTTTTGAGACATTATCTTTGAGGAACAACCCTTTTCTTTGCTTTGGCAAAAATTTGCAAGAGGTCCATTTCCAATTAATTATGGTAGTGCCCCCATTAATGGCGGTGATACCCCAATAAATTAGGTTACAATCCAAATGTTGCGGTAATATCCCAATTCGAATTCGGGCACTACCAAAAGTAACTGGAAACGTCCATATCATCCAACGAATCGAGATGGTGTCGCAATTTTACGGGGTAACCCCTAACACTTTTTTTCACGAACTTTCCTTAAAAATGTATAATTTATTGGAAGGATGTTACCAACTCCCGAGTGCTCATAAAGCGTGTCGTTTTGGTGCGTCTTTGGTGCGGCAGCATAAGTAAGGATGCCTATATTATGGTTCGGAAGATAATAACAATAGTCGGTTTTAACAACCATCGGCGCGTTTCTCGTGAAGATGCTACCTCTAGTTGAGCCTTGAGATCGATAGTTTATGTGGACATGTCTTATTAGAAGACGCAGCTGAACGCGGAAACCGACAGGTCACTCCGACCCGAAATAATCGAATTCAGTCTTCGGGCAGTTCATGGCTCTGCTTATTTCGCCACACTCGCGCTGTCAGAGAGGGACTGACCGGAATATTAACTGCGCGATCGCACAGTTTGTTTTTGTGAGGAGCGAATAAATTATCGTTCAGGCGCAAACGAAGATATTAAGAATTTGAATAAATGATCAGGAAATCAATGGGATTTTCCGACGTTTTGTGCTTGCCTGTCCAAACACTAGATCGAGTTTAGGAAAGAAGGGATCTGTTGATTATTTCGTCGCTCGACTTACAAAATGGCGTGAGTACATATTGAGATGAGCCCGGAAAAGAATTAAATTGTATGGAGGACAGGATTCATCGCGGAGTATAGATACGTCCCTATATGGCGTGGCGTGAATGATCAGCCGTTATCGACATTTTCCCATTTGAAGCTATGGTAAAGAATCGATTATCAAGGTATTCGCTGCGAACACCCCATTTATCGATTCATCTCCGTAGGTTTAAATGGTAGATAAATCGATCCATCGCAAAGCATGCCACGCCACTGACGTCCTTCTGTCAGGAGGGTGATGAGTTGTTCCCAGGAGCTCCATAAGTCTGACGACGGAATTGGTTCCATTAACGAAAGAATTAGTCGTTACTTTTACAATGATCATAGTGGATTCCAGGTCCTATCTACTTTTCTATTCGCGAGAGTAACGTTACTTTCAAGTTAACAATTGCACTACATAACCAGTTCCGAGTTATGCTTCGTCCTTCGAACCAAATCCGATTTTTTTTTTGATTCCTGGGTGCTAATGAAATCCGAAAATGCCCATTTTAGATTTAGAACAATTTCTGATACTTACTCAGAGCGCCGCCATCTTGAATTTTTTCAAAATCGAGAGATTCCAAATTCAAATTCAAATTTGCGATTTTTGCTCTGATTCCTACGTAAACTTTCGCAAGAAACACGTCGATGTCACCGTTTTTCTCTGAAACAAACTTCAAAGCTCAAAAAAGCTCTCAAAGTTGAGACCCGAATGGAGGGAATATCACACGCTACCCTGAGAGTCTACCTCTACATCAAGACAAACTCTTTATGCAAAGATAAGGAGAAAATACATCTGACGGGCTGCCACTTTGTTGGAGGGACTCCAAAACTGGAAACACACGATGACCCTGCTAATGAATTTGCTCATTATCTTTCCATAGAGAGTTTGTCTGGAATTGGAGGTGGACTCTCAGGGTAGCGTGTGATATTCCCTCCATTACGGAGAGCTTTTTTTGAGCTTTGGAGTTTGTTTCAGAGAAAGCCAGTGGCATCATCGTGTTTCGCGCGAACTTTTACACAAGAATCAATAGTCAAATCGCAAATTCCTCACACATGCAACAACTCCATTGTCGCGGGCAATCGGAGGCTTGTCCGCGCGCACCTTATAAAGCGCCTTCGACATCCTAGAGATACTTCAAACACTACACCGTTACGCACACACTCCGATGCGTAAATTGCCTACACTGCGCCTGCCGGAGTGTACACCATGTTTTGAAATTTTACGTAATAATGAGTGATTTTATCGCATAAATTCCCGACCTGTGCAAGAGCTCTATTGGTAGTGCCTTATTGCAAAATGCAGTTTAATTGGATTGCATTTTGCAAAAAGGAACCACTAGCATTGCAATGATGCTAAGATTGTGCAACTTCATCTTTTGCAATAAAATTGCGGAAATCGTGAAAAACTATGAAATTTAGATGGTAATTTTTGTCATAAATTTACAGTTTTTAGCGAGTAAAATAGAAACTATTAATGGATAATCGGGGTTTTCCTCCAAGACAAAAGAAGTTGCACAATCTTAGCAACATTGCAATGCTAGTGGTTCCTTTTTGCAAAATGCAATTGTTCTTTACAAAATAACCAAAAAAGTATCTTACGCCTTATCGTGCGTTGTCAAATCATTTTGTAACTTCATCGATTGTGCAGGATCTGCTATTCGACCTGGTGGATTCCTCAGTGACCCCGCTGACCTATTCACTCCAGCTGCTGACCTCGGCGTTGCGGACCGCGCACAAGATCAAATGCAAACGCGGTGGGTCGGACAACCCCGTGCGCGGAGTGTGTCCCGCGCTCCTGGAAATGTCGCCGCAAGAGTGGAAGGCCTACCTCACTCAAACGACGGTTCTGTCGGAGCACTTCGATTTCCCACGCAGAATCAAACTCAACATGGATTTACCGGTCCTCGTCAATATTTATGTGAAGGACGGCAACACTGATAAACTTATTCAGGTAAGCACACGTACACTACTGTACTGGAGTACCTATATTGAGAGAGTATGACCACTGGTGTTACCACCTCTGATTGGCTCAGCCATTTTAAGCTGAATGGAGCCCTTAGGACCCAAAAATGGCGGACGCCATAAATTAATGTAATGCAAAATGACTCAAAATTTAGTTTTCTTTGCTTATCGAAAAGAGAAATTTATCCAAATGCACTATTGCGACTTCTTTACATATGTTTAAGGCTAATCGTGTGCAATTTTTGAGAAAAAAATTGGCCCAGTGGCCATACTCTCTCAATATAAGTACTCTACCGTACTAAGGAAGAACGCCGTGTGAACATTCGAGAGTTGCCAAATTTATCCGGATAAAACATGATTTTTGGGGGAAATTTATGCATATTTTTCCTTGAAATTTTCAAATGCTTTAGATCAAACTATGAACAAAATTGTCCGAAAAATTTGAGAATATGATTCAGAATTTTACTAGTAAATTCGTTTTGTATTGAAGGAAATATGGCAACGTCTGACGGCTCATACGACGTTCTTACTTAGCACGACAGTACAAGAGTCTTCTAGAACAGGAAAGTTGTTGCACGGAATGGGACGCTTTTGCTTGCATACAAAGAACTAAGGATCCTGATGGCTGATGGCACAGGAATTTTCCCGGAGTTTTTCGACCACCGGAATCCCCCCAAAAATTAACTTAAGAACGCGCAAAATTCGGATTTTCACGGTCACTTTTACGCGGGAACTGATTCGGTACTTTTCTGACGTCACAGTTCATGATAAAATCTGGTCTCTTCATAGTTTACGATGTATTCTCTCATTAGGAATTGGCAGCCGCTTGATGAAGAGACCATGGGTTTGTTATGTACTGTGACGTCACGAGTATACCGCAGATCCGTTCCCGCGTTAAAGTGACCATTTTGAATGGGTCGGTTCTTAAAACAACTTTTTTTGAGTTTGGGAAGGGATTCAAGATTTTTTTAAGGAGCCATCGTCCTTTTTGTGAAATTTGCTATTGGAATTGGTTATCAATTCGCAAATCCCCGCACCTTGCAACAGGTCCACTACACTGTGAGAATTCATCGAATGAATTTCACTCCTAATCTATTTTGCCTCAGGATCAAAATTTCCCGGAAAATTCAAGTGCTGGGTACGGGATTGTTCTCTGGAAAATTCTCAGGAAAGTTCTCGGTGGCTCTTCAACGTGTGAGTGATTGTCGTGTGCAAGAACAATCATTCAGAAAAAGGGCATATGTCCGTCTGACATTGCTAAAATACCTTGTCACTGGCTTGTAGTGCGCTTCTGACACGTTTTTTTTCCTGTGGGTGTACTTACCAGTGTTCGAAACTCACAGGCGCCAACGCGCCAAGTGAGCCTAAAAAATGGGCCATGGCGCCTAAAAAATGAAGGCTCTGCGCCAATGTGGCCCCTAAAAATCTAGATTTTCACAGGAAGCCACATACAGAAAGAAAAACAAATCTAATTGAATTAAAAAAAAAACTCAACAATTTCAGCACTACAAGTGAGAGCTTGCTTTTTCTATTCTTCACGATTTCATTCTTAGTGCTTTTGTCTTCCCCAAGTTACAACTACTTACTAGTTCTGTTACGAAAACATCTTGCGTCTAACTTTTCACTAAATGTGCCGTAATATATAGGCAAAAAGTCGATTTGGCCCCTAAAACATCTTCAATGGCGCCTAAAAATCGGGCTTGATGCGCCACATGACTCCTAAAACTCAAAGGTGAGTTTCGAACACTGGTACTTACATCAAACTTCCGAATGAGAAAAAATCCGCCCGTAAGTTCGGAATTTTTACGATCTCATTTTTGTCCAGGCTCATCCGGGTCTGATCACACAGATTTTTTAGATGTCAGTGTGAAATCAAACTGGTGAGTAAAGCTTTAGGCTTCATAAAACATCCAACAGCAAAGGAAAACAAGGTGTATAGTACGTATACTGTAAATTTAAAAAAGATTCTATACATAATTTTCTCGAAACGGAACATTATCCGGGAGGGGCTTTGAGATCTAACACGGCTTTTTACAGTTTAACCCTTGAGATAACCCAAATGCTGGCTTACATAACTCCAGCCGACCTTTAAAAATAACCGAACCCCCCCGAAAAATATCTAAGTGCGCAGATAGAATTAAACTCACTGCGTATTGGATTTGCAGAGGATGTACTGAATTACTGTGCAAAAAAACCGATCAATAAAATTAGCGCCCTCTTAATCGTCGGTTGCATTACTTAGTGAAAAGGAAAAAGTATAAAAAAAGTATTTATAAGTGTGAATGGTAATGTAAGACTTACGTAACTTCTACCGAAAGGGCGATCACACATTGTACTTTGCGTCACGATATAACTGCGTTCCATGAGACAAAAAAGTGGTGTTTTGGCTTTGTGATTCTTTCAGCCGCCTGAAAAGCACGCAGATTTCTAAGTTTTCCTCGCATGCGAAATTTCACCCTGGAGCGAAAAGGACAGCGCCCTTTACCGTCATGACGTAAGAATTGAAAGTTTTCCCTCGATTTTCAATTCTTTGATTTTCCTCTCATGCACACGCCACGCATCTTAGGATAAGCAAAAAATCAAATGATTTTCATTTTTTCCTTTCGGACAATGTGGGTATAAAAAGACAAATTATTCAGTTAAGCGAAGAAAGGAAAAATTCTATCGAACTCCTGAAAGATAAAGTCGATTTAAAGGTATTTTGGGGCTAAAATACCCAAATCACCGGTATTATAAATCCCGTTATACCTTTTATTGAAAAGAAATTGACTCGATATAAATGCAATTGCATTAAATGTGTCTTGATTTTTGAAAGCAAACAGTCTACATCCCGAAAATCTACCGATTTGCCGTAAAAAATTGCAGGAACTTGATATACTAGGTCGATGCACTCACTCGTTGAACTTACCAACCAATTTCGTGAGTGCCAATATGTAAAAGTCAATTTGCTATAGTCATTTTGGGTGCATTTATTTTTTATGAAACAATAATAAATTCAATCCCGAAAAACCATCAATTTTCCGTATAAAATCGAAAAAATCGAAATGTGTCGACTCCTTGACGTGAAAATTAGATTCTACGTGTAAAAATACTTACGTATCGATATGCTGAACAGTTTATATTCGTTATTTCAGAGTCGTGATTCCGTGGGAAATGTTAGCTTTTCAACGTTGAATTGAAAATCATTTTCACGATCCACATAATCTTAAGGACGGTAAACAATTAAACATTCTACACGTGTAAATTCCCTCATAAGAATTTTTTCAGAGGTGTTAATGACCCAGCTGATGTTAGGTACTTCGTGAGAAGAAACTAATTCTGCTATACTACTACAAACACTCTTCTGGTCGTATTTTTGCCATGAGGACTTGTACGTAAAATTAATTTAAATGAAATGGAAATGCATGTGCACATGAGTATGATTTTCCTGAGCTTCATAGAGCATTTTGATTAAACTTATTTACAGGTAGGTTTTTCCAGCATCGGGGTCTCTCGAGATTTCCACCGAATAATCTGTTATTTACCTCCTTTGTCCATTGCAATTACCGGCTTCCACCTATAGGATCGCAGTATTTTTTTTGTCTTCTTTGTATGTAGCAAATACATTGACTGGGCTGCCACTTAATTTGGGGACTCCAAAACTGGAAACACGGCAACCATGCTAATGTTTTTGCTCCCTTTATTTGCATGGAGAGTTTGTCTTGATGTAGAGGTGGACTCTCAGGATAGCGTAGGATATCCCCTCTATTTTGGTTCAACTTGAGAGCTTTTTTTGAGCTTTGGAGTTAATTTCAGAGGAAACCAGAGACACCATCGTGTTTCTCGCAAACTTTTACACATGAATCTATAGTCAAATCGCAAATTCCTCACACATGCAACATCTCCATTGCAATAGACAAAAGAGGTAACTACATCATTTTCCCCCTTGGTTAGTATAGAGTACATAGAGTCGTAATGTAAATGGGAGAGCTGGCGCCATGATCTGCTCGACGAATTCCGAGCCCGGTGTGCGCCGAGTTCGGGTCGCTTTTTCGATGCATTTTCGATCCAAAATGGCCGTGTTAAATACGTGGTAATTCCTATCTCCTTTGTTGTTGTTGTCATCGGATGGCCGGGTACCCGTGTATCGCAAACAATCGATTATGTATCGAAAAAGTGACCCGGCGTCACATATGAGTCTCGGAATTCGGGACATGGAAAATGCTTAAAAGTGGCGCCAGCTCTCCCACTTACATTACGACTCTATGTACTCTATTTTGGTTAGCAACAACCACCCGCTTCAACCAATAGGACAGCTTCATTTTGTCTTTGTCTTCTTCGTCTATAACTTAGTCCCTCATTTTCAATAAAGATCCCGCAGTGTTTTTTTTAACATTAGACATATCTGCTCTGTCTCCAGATGGGCGAGATCCGCGAGGACGCCGAACTGCGGGTCCTCCAAGAGAACATCCTAACCAACCTGAAGAGCACGAAACGCCGCGGCGAGGCCTGCGACGTGCACCTGGAAGAGTGGCACCCGGCGACCTCGCCACCTCCACCGCCGCCACCCCCGACCGTAGACCCGGACTCCATCGAGGACGTGGAGAGCAACCGCGTGGACTTCGACCTGTGGGGCCTCCTCCCGCAGATGCGTCGCGGAGACGGCGAGGACATCTACGAGACGGCCGTCATGCTCAGCGCCGTCGGGCTCGGCATGCTCTTCTTCCTCCTTGTCTGCATCTACATCATCTACTCCAACTTCCGCATCAGCTCCGGGAAAAGCGATTCGAGCCAGGACTCCAGGTCGCCGCGCTCCCCGCGACGCGCTGTCCGACGGAGCCCGTCTTTTCGCCGGAGCCCCTCCTTCCGGCGACACCGACCCGTTGCTAGGCAGCAATCCGAGCGCTCCATCCGCTCCACGGGAACCAACGCCTCCGCGTAGATTCCCTCCACAATCTCCGGATCTTTTTTCCGCGTTCAGTAACCTTTCTTCCGCGCCCCGGTATTCCGGAGTTCCATTGAAACCAACGTCTTCGCACGGACTCCATTTACCATCTCCGGATCTTTCCTCAACATACGGGAGGCCTCTTCCAGACTGTTTGTCGTCTGCTCCGCTGGCACCAACCCCTCCGCGTAGATGCCCACCACGATCTTCGGAGCTTTTCTCCGCATTCAAGAACATTTTTACCGGGACTCGGTATTCCGGAGTTCCGCCGGAACCAACGTCTTCGTGCGGACTCCTTTCACAATCTCCGGATCTTCCTCGAACATATGGTAGCCATCTTCCTGAAGATCGCTTGTCATCTGCTCCAACGCGTCCGCGTAGATTCCCTACTCGACTTCCGGATTTTTTCTCCGCGTTTAGGAACCTTTTATCCAGGACTCGTTATTCCGGAGACTGTCCGTCGGAACCAACGTCTTTGCGCGAACTCCGTCCACAATCTCCGGATCCGTGCTGCACGTCGGAAAAACTTCTTCCGGAAGCCTGCTCTTCGTATGCTTCAATGGAGCAAAGGCCTCCCCAAGAGCTGCTACCGCAATTTTCGGATGTTCCACCAATTTCCGCTCACCACAAGAGATTTTCCCCCGGAATCTGTCGTTCCGGAAAATCCGCGTCGTCCACACCGTTGGAACTAGTGGTGTCGCGTAGGCTCCCTCCACAATCTGATCCAGAGACTGCGTTATCCGCTTTTCCGGAACTACTGCCGCCGCGTATATTTTCGCAAGGAGCTTCGGATGTCCCTTCGATTTCCATTCACTCCGTATGCCGGAATGTAACATGCCGAGACTGCGCGTGCGCGATATGTGCACCGTCAGAACTGACGCCTTTTCGGAGGTACCTTCCTGCTTCAAGTGATTCGACCGACACCTCGACTTCGAAAAAATTAACGTCAGCGATGGCTTTCGGTGTCCTTGCTACGCTGAAAGCTTCATTTGTAGCAGTCCCTCGTTTTTTCGGACTTGATAATTGCGGAGAAAGAGAACCGTTGCTTGCCAAGTCAAATGTCTGTACCGCTTCAACAGAACCTCGAGTCTCTCTCTCCACCTGTAATCGAAGCTTTGGAAATCGCGCCACTGTGTCAAGTCCGTACGATCATTTCAATTCGTTAAAAGCAATCATTAACAGTGAATATCCGGACCAAGAGGCACAATTTTCGAACTCAACTTTTGAATTGGTACCAAGGATAACAACTTCTTCGATGGTTAATGTTTGTCTAAAGAACCCTAGAATCAAATTTCTTATTTCTACTGATATCCACAGCTCTAGAGGTTGTGTTGCTGTGCAAGGTCTACAAAATTCTCCTTCTGTGCCAAAACCAATGCCGGAGTGTAAAGCTTTTGATCCAGAGGCAACATTTTCAACCTCAACCTCCGTGTTAGTTCCGAAAAAAACTGTTCCCGGAAAGGCTGCCACTGACCTACCTAGATTTTTACCTCCTACACACAGTGCTTCGTTACAGGACAGTTCTCGGTTAGAATCAGCCACTCAACCAGAGGTGACGAATCCATGGGAACTCTTTCCGTATCATCCAAATTCAGAACTTGACCCCTTGAAACCCTCTTGCAACATTCTCAACCGAGTACCAGCTAAGCATTCAGCTGGATGGTTGATGAACAACGTATTTGGTTGTTTACTAATGAAAATATGGTCAATTGTGGTAAAATTGATGACAGAGTTTTTAAACAAAATGTTCACGAGAAGAAATTAGGGGACTGCTGAAATTTGAAATTCCGGGTCCTCGGTCACGTGAAAGTTCTACGAATAGCGTGACTAGTTTCAGTTACCTAACCCATCGTTTTGAGAGATTTTCACTATACCTTATCTTCATCTTCCAAGCTAGTCAACTCCTTCCAAAAAAAACAGAAATAAATAAATAAAAAAAATAAAATAAATAAATGTATCAAAATAAATTTTGCCGATGTTGCATTTGAGGGAAATTGTTAGAGGGCCTGGGATTCTTGAGAAATGTTATTTAGGCGCTTTCATATAACTTCTTCGTTATATTGCGATTTTCCTATCTATTTGGATTTGATGATGTCGAGACAAACAAAGAGGCGGATCCAGCAATTTGGCAACACCGGATTTCCTCTATTTAAACCTATGCTAATCGATTCTCGTCGGAGCACATGGCCCCTCCAAAAATCGGTACATTTCCATAGGTTTAAACGGAGAAAAGACAATGTTGCCAATTTTCTGTATCCGCCAATGGAAAAACACCACAACTTGTGATGGTAAATCTATTTTGTTGCATAACTCAAAGTACTGCTCATGGGTAAAGCTATAGGTACTTCTAAAATGGATTACATTTTGCAATAAGGAACTACTATCTCTGGCTCTTCCATAAAAGCACCTTTCTGCGTAGGGAAACCAATAGCATGTTGCTCCTAAAATGAGCCGGAAATAGTGGTTCCTTATAGCAAAATGAGGTTCAAATGGACTGCATTTTGCAATTTGGAACTATAAATTCTGGCTCTTCTGGAAAAACACTTACGTGCATAGGGCAAACTAATGGCACGTACGTTGTTCTTAAACCGGGCTAGAATTTATAGTTCCAAATTGCAAAATGTAGTCCAAATGAGAGGCCAGCGAAGAACGGCTTGAATTTAGTTTTAAGGGATTTTCTTGAAATTGCATGCAGTCATCCTCAAACAACTCGACATGCATATTCCTTTGGGATGCAAAAAATTCAGTTAGGATAAGAAGAAAAAACGCCAAAATACTGTGCTTATGATGCGTTTATGTAATCAAGCGAGGCATTTCCAAACATATCACATTTGTTCTAATGGAGAATTTGCACGCAATTTTTTTATTGCTTCATCTGAAAGAGCCTAATGAGCTGAGTTCGCAATATTTTTCATAATTTTTTTCTGACATGGGAAATTGGAGAAAAATTGATTTAAAAGTGAGAAAATGTGCCGCCTTGTGACGTCATCTGGCGGCATTTCTCATTTAAACACATGTATTTTAGAAGATCAGGTTATTTTGTCATATCTCCTCTAATAATTGCTCAATTTATGAATCAAGGGTATCTTCGTGTTCAGTTCACTCAGAGGATTCCACTTAAACAGGAAATTCATCAAATTTCAGACCCTTGCAAATTCTCCATTAGGCTTATGTACAAAAAGACAATCAATTAAAATTATGTCTCATTTTCCCTGACAATACAGAGCTACGCCACCGCGTTATTGCCCCTTTATTTCTGAAAAAATGAAGTAATTTGACCGGAGTAAGAATTAGAGGCCTATCACGTCTTGCAATATAGTTCTACTGGATGAGCTGATAACACTGCCGTGCTAAGGAAAAACGCCGTATGAACATTCGAGAGTTTCCAAATTTCCCCGAATAAAGCATGTATTTTTGAGGAAAGTTGTGCATAGTATTCCTTGAAATTTTGAAATATTTTAGCCTGAAGTGTGTACAAAATTGTCTAAAAATTGGAAGAGAAATATCCAACAGTTTCCATGAGAATTCGTATTTGATCTGAGGACATTTGGCAACGCCTGATGATTCATACGGCGTTCTTCCTTAGCACGGCAAAACTGATGCAAGTTATCACATTGTATCCTAGGGGCTGATCTCCCTTTCTTTTCATTTAAATCGCGTTTAAAAAAAAATACGTCCTCAAACCGATGAAAAATAATTTTCCTTGACAACCATGGACTATTTAAGGATGATCTTGAATAAATTAAGAAAATTAACGTATGGGGATTTAATTTTTAAAATAGGTTTAATAATGGACGTTTGTTTAACTTATATTTGCGCAATTTTTTGTTGTTTTCGTTTGTAATTTATTGTTTGATGTAATGATGTTCGCGCAAGTTTTTTGCTTGTTTATGTCTGGCCTGTAATCTCTAAATTGATACTTTTACATTAAGATGATGGTGATGAAATTTTGAAAAAATTAAGAAGAAACAGAGTAAAAGCGGCGATTCTGAATTTTTTCAAATCCAAGATACCATTCTGCTGTGTAGATAATAATTGGAAGATACCACTTGTAAAATTTAATTAGACTGTAAATATTTTAGTAATTTATTTAAAAAAAGTATTATAATACAAAAGCCTGGTTTTTTTTACCTCACTTGATCTTGTAATGGAGGCAACCGTCGAACCCTTAAAAATGAATAAATTCCCGCTCGGATTCCTCGACTCATCAAAATAAATATCATCCTTCATATTTCACTTAATTGACTTTCAAAAAAAAAATCTTGAAAATTTTCAAATGTATAGCAGCAAATTGAACTTAAGCAGGTGTTTCTCTTGGAATAATGTCGTTCTGTGCGAGTTAAAAGTATACTATTGTTGGACCATGGTTTAATATTTAAGCCATATCGATGGTGAAACTGCAGAAATGCGTGTCTCGGTTTAATGTGGCGTTGCAGATTCCCTAGCATACTTTATTTTTGTCATGGGAACGGAGTTCCCCATGTTGTCATGGGAACGGAGTTCCCCATGATATTAGAATCGTTCCGTTGCTTTCGCTATGGGATTCCCTATACCTCTGCGACCTTGAGCGTTTCGCCCAGTCTCCGATTTTTGGTTGATTTTCCGATGTATCAAAAACCGTTGTATTTTTTAGCCAATCATGTCTCTACGTCAAGTTGTGTTGATTGCTAAAATTCGCTTTCAGCGAGTTTTTTTCCACCTTGAGATGTCGTGTCTGACTGGTAAATCTGCGCAGAACCACGAAGTTCCGTTTTTAGGCAAATTCTTTTTTTTGGGAGGTTCTGATTGGTTATTTTTCGCCATCAGTTTTCTGTTCGTTAGTGCAAAAGATCGCCTACCTCGTTGCTCTTGAGAAGCCGCCATTATCCCACCTCAAATTTTACAAATAGAAATAAAGAAATTATAACTATTGTGCAAGGTGGAAAACTGCTCTGGAGGACCCGTTACGGATATATGAGCCAAAATTGGAACTCGACTGATTGATTTATTCCATGAATACAGAAATATTGCCTCAGCTTACTGCCGCGATCGCGAATGCATTCTGGGATGAAACTCGAGACACATGATAGCATAGGCAAACAATGTCTCACAGAGAAAGGCAGTTAGCTCTTTTTCTCATATCTCAGAGGCTACGAAGACGCGAATCGCTCAAGGACAACTCTTGTGATAAGTCCCGCCCATCGTCCGAGTCTTTTAAATGCTATTTTTACTCATTAGGTAGAGGTTCTGAGATAGCCTAGTTGACTGAGGCGCCCCATCTTGTTGGTAAGGTGCGGGCAATAGGTGATCGGGAGTTCGATAGCCGGCGATGGGAGTTAATTTTTAATGGTTGTATTGAATGTTTTAGACCAATCATCAAAAAATAATTAATACTAGATGATAAATGTACAAACATTTTCTCGTGAGTTAATATGTTAAACAAAAATACTGGAATATACCTCCTTCATATAATTAGCCACATGTTTCCCCAAATTAATGACGTTATTTTTTTTCTTTTTTCAATAAAGTTTATTTGCATTCAACGTTCGTAAGTTAAGCAAGATGTACCTATTGATACAAATAGAAAGACATGAAAATAGTATGTCTAACATTTCAGTTTTTTTTTTTTTTTTTATTTTTTGTTTTTTTGTCTTTTCAATAAAACAAATTGCCTTGGACTAGAATCAATGTATCTCTGAAGACAAAAGCTAAGTTTTTTGATACAGAAATACTAATATATTCATCCGTTATATAATCAGGGAGATGTTGACCCAAATATTGATGTATATTTTCTCTGTTCGCCCAAATTAATTATGGTATTTTCTTTTTTTAAAAAATAAATAAAGCAATGACATGAAAGTAGTATAGTGCACATCGAACATTTCAGTTACATCTATTTGAATGAAAAAATGGCAACTTAGGAGGCACATAGGTCACTTATGATGCGTATGCGGGCATATGTGTAGAGTAAAAATATCATACTTTACGCTGAAAAAGCGAAACTGAAAGTTAAATGCGTTAACTTCCGAAAACCATGAATAATCCAACGAAAATAAATAATTGGTAAATAACAGCTTTATTGTATGCAAAGAAAAAAAATTAAAAATGTTAAAAAAGAGATGTTGACACAAAATTACATAGCCCCTTCAATTCTGAAGATACTGCAAACGAACTGTACCTTAAAATTTTCATATCCCAGAAGCTAAAGTTCCCATGACGAATATTGCTATCGCTAGCGATTGCAAAAACCAACTTGTCTACAATTATAATTGCTGAATGTCATTTCTTGAAATCTACGAAGAAAGACCTCTTATGCGAAAAATATTCTGTAACAATTTCAAGCCATGATGTTGGTTAGGTCTTCTTTTCAAACATAAAATGGTGATTCTGAATAATTGCGACCGGGATACACATTTTTGCAGTTTCACTGGCGCGTGGATAATTGATATTTTCCCATTTGAAGCTAGGGCCGGATTTAGGGGATGGCCACATGGGCCGCGGCCCATGGTGGAAAATTTAAGGAGCGGCAAATTTTGCAATTTTTTTAATGTAGGTATCAAAAAAAGAGAGAAAAAATCGGATTCAGAAAATAAATTACAAACGAGTAAAGGCGACAAAATCTCTCATTTCCTGAGAGTAAGAGTATTGTAATTTCTAATTTTGTCGTATTTCGGGTATACAAGAGACAACACATTTTATTAGTCGAGTTAAGAGAGAAACCAAACACGCAATTTAACCTGGAACGGAGCAGCGCGGCGCGGCGGTCGGCATGAAACTCATAGAGCCTACAAGACTCCATGAATACTTCACGCATTGCGTCAAACAGTCCAGTGCGGTCAGCAGCGGTCGGCGTGAAGCGCACAGCGCCTATAACCTACAAGACTGCATGAATACTTCACGCATTGCGTCAAACACAGTGTGGTCAGAGAGAGAGAGAG